TATCGTAAATATTTGCATATAAAAGATGTTCAAAAATTTTGGAAAAGTTATTAATTATAGAGATCGGTATATAGTTTTCTAAATCTGATTTATCACCTTTTTTAAAGACTGGACATATACGTGAGAGTTTCCATTTTTGAGGAAATGTAGATGTTTTTAAAATTAGATTAAATAAGATTGTTAATCGAATTACAAATATGATCGCACAGTCCCTTATGATAAAGGCGGGTATTAAGTCAGGGCCAGACGTTGTAGCAGCTTTTAATTTTTTGATTGCAGACAGTACTTGTTTCTCTGTTACCATACTGATGTGGATTATGTTTGCATGGTAGTTAGAAGGCTGTGGATTTGCGTTTATTGACGATTTGGTGAAGGATTTAGAGAAATAGTGCGCAAAATTATCCGCTATCCGCTGAGGATCATGAATAGTATCACCCTCATATGTAATTGGAGATGGAATTGTATCTGCATTATTTTTTGATTTTATAAAGGACCAGAAATGTTTTGGATCACTTTTGATGTTTTGGTTTATATTTTTTATGTAATCAGAGTAAGCTGACTTAATATCAGATTTTAATTTTGCCCTAAGGGATTTAAATAAACCGAAGTCCTCTGGCGTACTAGACTTTTTGTAGCGTTTCCATGCCGACGTCTTTTGTTTTAACATATGGATTATTTGGCCATTAAACCACCGAGGATAAATGCACCTGGTTGGTTTCCTTTTTTTCGGAACACATTTTTCAAAAATCTCATATAACATATTATAGAATTTAGTAACAGCTTCGTTTACATCTGAGAAATGGTTAAGGGATGACCAGTTTGTTTCATATAATAGCGAATATAACAGGGCGAAATTACTTTTTTTTTAAATTGAATTCATTCTCATTTACCGAGGTTATGTTTTTATGGCAGTAACTAGTAAATTTAAAATCAATATCCAAAGCTGTATGGTGCTTGTCCTCTGGGACTATAGATTCACCTGCTCTAGAGACAGTGCACTGGCTGTGGTTAGTGACTAGAACAAGATCTAGTAGTCTATTATTAGCGTTCAAGATATGATTACACTGTTTCATGTCAAAGAAGTTCATTAATTGGTTTAGACTAGAAAGCTATTTAGAATTAGAGCAACTAGATATGGATTGGACAAATTCGGGAACGTTAAAGTCACCAAGAAAGAGTAACTCAGATCCGAAAAGACATTCTAAGGATAGTAGATAGTCGACGAAAACATCATAAGCTGTGCTATCACAGGAGGGAGGGATATATATAAGCAATACAAATAATGTGCGAGAATGGGAACCAAGCTTTACTAACAAAAAATCTATTAGGGGTGATATATTTATACTGTTATCAGAGCGATTAAATTTTATCAGCTCAGCATTTAGTCGCTGGTCAATAGCTAGTAATACACCTCCACCTCTTTTCAGACCCGTAGTGTCATTATTTCGGTCAGTCCTGAAGATGTTGTATTTGTTAAGGTCGAAAAATTCCGCATTATTTATGCTGCTGTTAAGCCAGGTTTCCGTTAAACCAATGATGTCGTAGTGTATAAGACCTGAGCATGTAGAATAGAATTCTGTTATTTTAGTGCATAGCCCCCTTGTGTTTTGATAGTAGCAAGATATTTGCGACGATTTCTGTGTGGAAATATTAGAATATAATGCGCACTTGGATTTTGATGCCTTACCATTATGGTAAATATCGTGGAGAGTAGTGTTGTTGTTACGAGAAGTGGAAAAACGAGTGGAATTGTTAACCAAAAAATTAGGCGCAACGGAATTATCTATAAAAAATGAGAATTGTTTCTCGATGATAAATTTTTTATCATATGACGATTAGCTGAGCTGCTGTGAGGATAATTCTTGTGAGTGAAGGGACCTCATACGTTCATATTTAAAGTAGCAGAGGAATTATCCGTGTTACAAATTATGTGATGAACTATGTTTTTAATTATATTTCTTTTAGCAGCTTGGTTAAATATGACAGCATCAGTTTTAAATTGATTGTATAAAAGCTCATTGGGATCCAAATACGAATATCTTTCAAGGTTTATATTCTGTGTAGCTATGTTACGTAAATTGCAATTTAATTCATAAGCCGACTTGTTCCTATCAGAACGACCATTAAAATACGGACATCCTACAATAACTGTTTTATTTTTTTTAAACTTATCGCGAAATGTTTTATGCAACGTGTCCACATCAGGTACTTTGCCATTTTTTACTTCGAGATTGCCACCAAATATAATTACGTAATCATCATTGCTAAGATCAGAAGTTTCATTATCGCAGTCAGTCAAAGATGCATTTGGTTTAACTACTGATAATAAATCAGATTCATTAGGCGGAAGGTAATCATTCATTATGTCAACACAATTTCGTCCTTTTTCGTCAGCTAATAAAATAATTTTGCGTTTTTTTGTTAATTGTGGCGACTGTGATGTTTTTGATTTTCTAGATGATGGTGGTTTGTTGGATTCGATAATATTCGATTCATGAGTAGATTGGAGATTTGGTAGCATACGCAATAAAGGTTCAAATGATTCACGGCAGAAATCCTGCAAAGTTGGTTTCAGAGAGTCAACTTCTTTTTGATATTATTATTTAAAGATGTTATTAATTCTTTACGTAAGTCATCAAATAATCTACCTAGATATTGCTCCATATTCTCTACCATGTGTTGTACAGATTCTTTATATGATTTTTTTAAAATCAGTTTGTAAAGAATCAATTTGATTGCGAAGTAAAGTGATAAGTACTTACTTAAACTTCGCAATCCCCACTGTATGCACGTTAGCTAAGGTTTATCCAGTGTTTTAGAATGGTTCTAAGTCGGATATTTATTATTATATTCCGATCGCTATTATGCTGTCAATATTTTAAAACGTTAAGGACCCAGTGTAAAGAACTTAACGAAAACCTATATAATCCCTACCTTTCTAAAGTCAGCGACAGCATTACAAATTATCCACAGTTCTTCTGGAATTTCATTAAAGACACGAAAAAACACTAGTGGTATTCCTTGCGAAATGCAAAATTTGCAGAAGTGCGCTAAAACTGGTACCGAAATTTCCAATTTGTTTGCGAAGTTTTTTTCCTCGGTTTACGTAAAAGTTTTTGAAAATATCAATCATCTTAAACATTCTTTTTATCCTGCACTTGACGGCATTCCAAGCGTTCACAACAAGTTAGGATTGGTAGTTATATGTCGTCTCCCTATTTTGTTCCATTAGGCGTACCTCAAGGATTGCATTGTGGACCAATTTTGTTCTTACTATTCGTTAATGATCTAACACGTGGCTTTCGTGACTCCAATTTTCTATTATATGCGGACGATTTGACAGTATACAAGGTGATTGCGAAATACATGCAAACAAAAATGGGGAATAGCTCAGAATATGATTAGGTAACTGGGTAAAATTCACGGTCCTAAGTGGCAGCAGTGTGTAGAAAAAATTATTTTAAATTATATGTAAATTGTTATACGCGCCGCTGGTAATGTTTCGTGACCTACATAATTACAATGAATGGGACCGAGCGACTCCGATTAAGAACCAAAAAAGTGACTTTATCAGGCCGTGGTTAAAATTACTGCATATATTTCGCAGTCACCCTGTAGGTGATTGTCAAAATTTTTCAATTTCGACCCTAAAAACTTTATATTTTTCTATTGTTCAATTTCATCTAGTTTATTGTTCTTCCATGTGGTATCCTAATTATAAAACAGATTGTGATTTATTGGAAAGAGTACAGAAGGAATTCCTTCGCTTATTTGAATTTAAACTTGGTCAAACTCATACACAGGGTGATTACTTGATTACACTTGGATAATGTGTAATTTTAATATTAATTCACTCGAAACTCATCACATAATTTCATTTCTTCGAGGATTTATTAATGGTGATATAGATAATGACTACTTAATAGAAAAATTATCTTTCTTCGTATTCCCTGCTGATAGCAGATTAACTAGTAGTCAACTGATCTTCAGAATTCCTTTGTCGATAACAAATCGCAAAACCATCAATTTAGACGAATGATGAACACAGCCAACCGATTCGCAGAGGACCAGAGGTTCAACATATTTAGTATCATCAAAATCGCATTTAAAATTTTAATAAGAAAGCTATTTTGTAATTCTTTAATTAATGTGATTTTTAATTTTATTTTGTATGTATTTATTATATTTGTTTTTAATTGATTTTCTTGTACCTATTATTAATAAGTTTCATTAATATTATAATAGTGGTATCCCGTTCATAGATATATTCTACTCTCTATTTTATACCTAATTTCTCCAAGTTATTCAAATTTCTTTTAAATAATGTCAACTTGCACAGACCTTTGGGGTTTACACAATTTGTTTTACAGTTTCTAGATCAAAGATTACAAGTTGACGTAATATGTATATACTAACTTATCTAAAGTATTTGTTTGCCCCTTTTTAGACAAGATGCGGCAACGTGGGTTTTTTTATAAGTCACCTCAAACATAAAATTATCTTGAAGTTGCCAAATTTATACCACTATATAAAGAATGTTGTATTTCATTTAAAGTACACACACTAGCTATGATAAAATATAATAATAAGTGCATGACAAAGTACTTACCTTGAGTATACTTGGATATAATTTCCAATATGTCTGTCCACCACCGGTTGGAAAACTACTGAAGAATGAAAAATAGCGAATAGAAAGTTTGTATGCTCTCAACATTTTAAAACAGGCAATAACTGTTGCTGCAGGCTACCTCAGACATTTGGACATCCAGCGCAGGTAATATTATTCAGAAAAACAGAAGTTTATTTTTCACAGTTTTGTCCTACTGTTCTGGAAACGAAAAGGACGGCAATGGAGAACAAGAAGCACAAGAACTTGCTCTTTAAAACTTCCATAAATCAGACTACATCGTTTTGACAGATGATGCAGATAACCCGTTACAGGTTTTTAATGTTACGCAAGACATTTTCATGAACATGAATAGTCCAAAAAAAAAACAAAATGATAGTAAAAACTAAGTATTTGTGTGTTTTTCACAATAACTAAATTTGTGAAAATGTAACAAAATGTTTTGTTTTGCTATCACATTTTAAATAATTGCCATATTGAAGTTAAAACAAATGCTACAACACTTAACTAAACTGACTGAGTACACAAGCATTTAACCCAACTGGGGCATAAAGTCAAAATCGTAGGTGTGCACTAGTGAGTTACAACGCCGCTCACACTCCTGAATTAGTTGTTTTACACGATTTTCTTCATCCATTTCCAGCGTTTGGGCTGTCAATTTAGTGCTGTTACAAAAATCATAAATATCTTCATAACTGTCAAGTAGATCATTCTCCTCTAGATTGTACATTATACTTACACAATACTTGATTAAATACCGTTTAAATTTCACAAAACGTACAAATTTTTCGTCGTTGATTTTATTTTCTGCCGCAGCCAAAAGTGAATTCTTAATTTCGCGATCACTTCTGCCGCCTGTGGTATACTGAACTTTCAAACTCTTGGTGTTGTTGCGTAACTTTTCTGTAGCTTTTGCGGTCAAAATACCGTTTGTATCGATGCTTAAAGTAAACTCAACTTCTCGTTGACCCGGAGGTGCGGGAGTTACGTTATTTATTGTTATACTGTCCAATTGACGATTCTTTCTGGCATCTAAGCGTTCTCCTTCATACACACCCAGCGTAAATGATGTTTCGTCATCTTTTAAATTTACATAAGTGTGTGACGCACTTACGGGCAATTTTGAACCACGTTTAATTATGAAAATCATTTCATTTCCCAGGCTATCGAAACCTATAGAAAGAGGTACCACCTCGACCAGCTTCAGTTCTTCGATGTGCTGTCTTGTGCTGGTTGATAACATCGCCGCTTGTAACGCTGCACCTTCAGCAACGCATTCGTCAGGATTTTCAAACTTGTTTAGTTGTTTACCACCAAAGTACTTAGAAACCAATTCCTGAATTTTTGGTATACGTGTGGAACCACCGCATAAAATGACTTCTTGAATTGATGTCTTACTAAATCCGGAATCTTTTAAACAATTATCTAAAATGTCAATGGTTTTCTGGAAAAACTTGTCGGCCATCTTTTCAAATTCTTTCCTCGTCAAAGGAATTTTAACTTGGGGTTTGTTAGGAACCATTCCGTTAATAGTAATTGAGGCCTCATCTGAAACGGAAAGTTTCTTTTTTGCCTTTTCACACTTGTTTCGCAACCTTCGTTTATCGTCAGGTTTATAGCTTGCGTCATAGTCATATTTGCTCTTCAACTGCTTACAAACGAAATCCAAAATCAAGTTATCTAAGTCGTGTCCGCCCAGCTGGGTGTCTCCAGCTACACAAATCACATCTATGTCATTAAAACGTTTTTCAAGTATAGCAACATCGAAAGTACCACCACCTAAATCGTAAACTAAAGAACGATGAGTTTCGTGAATATCGTGATCGTGGTAATAAGCTAAAGCAGCAGCTGTCGGTTCGTTTTGAAGTTTAAGCACGGTAAACCCAGCATCTTTAGCAGCCGCTAAAGTTACTTCTCTTTGTGTAACGTTAAAATAGGCAGGAACTGTGATAACAACCTTGTTAACAGCTTCACCCAATTTGTCTTTCGTGAACTTTTTCAATTCTTCGAGCAAAATTGTATATAATTCTTGCGGGGTCTTCGTAATAGTGACACGTCTCTGTTTAAAAGAAACAACAGGATTATTTGAAGCATCGGCGGAAACATCGAAAGGAAAGTATTTCAAACTTTTCTGAAGCAAGGAGTCGTCGTATTTTCTGCCTACAAGGCGTTTCATTTCTGCAATATATATAATTTTAGTATAATAACACCAGTTTGTTAATTATAAAAGAAACGTTTACCATAAATTCCATTTTTGGGTTCATCATCGGCCTTGTTTTTCGCATGCTCTCCAATGAAGACACTCCCATCTGTGTTAAAAAATATAAAGGATGGTACAATTCGGTCGCCTGAATTATGTTCCAGAATTTTCATCTTATCGTTCATGAAAATGGCAACACAAGAATTTGTTGTTCCCAGGTCTATTCCAATTACTAAATCACTCATTTTGATAATCTAGAAACAAAACTTGCACTGTGAAATAACACTGTAACGTAAGCAACAGTTATGAAATCGAACACAATTTTATTTACCTGTTTTAAGTGGATTAAGTAATACTATTTTAACCAGGAGTTATGTTCAAAGCGTATTTAAATAACTATCGATGAACAACGTTTTCCAATTTAAGAACTTTGATGTTTACTAGATACCCAAAATGTGTTTCTTGTATCACAGTTATTTAGAAAGTTTTAAACCCAATTATAACCTACTGTGATAAGACTTATCTAATTCCAAATTTATCAGTAATGATAAAGAGAAGACGGGAAAAAGAAGATAAAATAAAATTACTTAAGAAATTACATTAAATTTTGAAAGATCTCGCCATTACAGTTCAATTTTTTCTGTACAGTGAGTAATATTTTACGATTACGGTGTTACACATTACAGTTAGTCGCAAGCTTTGTTCTGCAACATTCTGCTTGTTTGATAGCTTACGTTGTTACAGAATAATTATCCCTTCGTAAATTTAGATTACTCTTGTTTACATTTTCTTTCTAGGCGTAAATTAATGTTGTAATACACTTCAGACACTCCTGCAATTTGCCACTGTACATAATATTAGCAAGGACAAGAATTCAATCAATGAGATGACTAACGATGCAACTATTTTTAAATGTTCTTCATGTGTCACATCCGCATATGTTGAATAGTTTTCCATTGGTCTTTGTGCTTGTAACTCTAGGTTTGACAAAGATTTTCTCCTGATAGTTGTATCACTAAGAAATATTACGGGTATTTTAATAAAATTATTGCCAAGTTTGTGTTTATGGATATTGCATGTTATAATGCAGTCCATAGAAGGCAAATTTTATCCTCATTTCGTGAACAAGACTAGACATTTTGGATAAAAAATTGAAAGAAACATTAGTTTTGTTATGACTTTGGATGAATTTAGAAAAGAAAGTCTACTGATTTTAGAAAACGCCACAGAAAGGCAATAAAAATTACAATAAGAACATGTTTAACTTCGGGTGTTTATATTTATACTTCCAATTAACTTAACGATAACCAGGTTCAAGTATCAACATGCAATTATGTTAAAAAAATTAACTGGTTTTGTGTGGTCAACACAAGAGGATAGGACTAATTAATTAAGCACCCTCAGTTTTTTTTCCTGAACAATATAGATAATAGCAGGAACACTATAAAAAACAAAAACCCATGCTACATTGACAGGTGTGCTATTTTAGCGTTACGTGCTTGAAAGCTATAAGCTAAACTCTAACCTTGTACGAAGACCGTTTAAACTGGTTGAAAAAATTTAAAGACAAATTCAGGAAGAACAAGTACAAAGTATATGATTTGTGAAATGTCATCAGATTGGTGGTAGGGATGATTAAGGAAATTTTAATTATCTAACTAAAATACTAAAATCCCATTATTAATTAAAATCTTTAGGAATGACTTCGAAACGAAGTTGCTACCAATTCCTCTACCTACAAAGCATATCTATTACTGATATAGATACGTGGATGATATTCTGGTCCTTTTCGAAGGTTCTGAAACAGATCTCCACAACATCCTCTCTGACCTTAGCACTACCCAAATATCTATTCATATTCACTTTTTGAAATCGAAAATGACGAAAGATAACTCCCCTTAAATATTTTAAACATTTTAATCGCTAGAAAGATGCTTTATTCTTTGAGATATACAGAAACCAAGTGCCACCTATTCAATTACGAGTATCCGTTTTAGCTTTTAGTTCAAACCACCAACACTGTAAATTTTAAATCAAAATACATATAATGTTTATCCCCTCCCCGCCCCCCAAATTTTGAAGAATAAATTATATCGAAAATGTGCAAAATATGACGAATTTATACTTGTAATTGATCATTGCATTTATTTTCTTAGAATTGCTTGTACAAGGTGACTCAAAACATTAACGAATGTGTCAGTTTATTTTATTGATTAAATTAGGAAGACGCTTCAAAGTTATCGTAAACATAACAAATTTCTAGTCAGAGTATGTCTGTTTATCCCCTCAAAAATTGATGACATCATCTCAAAATTTTACCGAGTTAATCCTATTTAAAATGGACAAACAATGTGAGTCTACGTATATACTTGTGATTTATCAGTGAATTAAAAATATTATTGAATGAGTAAAATATGTTATTGACTGAATCAAGAACGGTTCATTCCATTTTCCCAAAAATTTGGTAGTACAATATTGTTATTATTATTCTGCATCTATCCAAATTGATATACCTGTCTTTACTGCTGATCACGTCATCAAAAAATTAAATAAAGCTCATTTGCAGCCACGAGTAGCAGGCTTTTTTCTATTTGTTTTAACGTTACTTACATTTCTTTATTTTAACTTTCAGTTCTCTTATAAAAATAGAATTAGCAAAATAAAATTTTATAATTTTTTCAAAAAGCTAGATGTTTTATTGTTCTTCGGGGGCGAGAGAAGTTCTATCGAAATAACCTTCGACTAATTTTTTACAGTTCTCGTCATTGTTCATACAGAAACTTGTGTCAATGAGGATGTGCTAGATACTAAGTTATTTTATAGCAATAATAGAGTGCACACCAAAGAGATATTTTGTGGGTCTGAATATACAGATGGTGGAATCGTCTTCGACATTCTTAAGAATTTAACTGACTTCCCATAATGTGGCACTTATTATAAACGCAGAGATGTTTTATATTTATCTATTCGTTGTTGACATTCCTCCATCAAAATTGTGAGAGTTATAAACTGTAGCTGTAAATGCTGATGGACCACAGAACGGGAAACATTTTACTTAAACACTTTATTATACAACTTTTATTGTAAATGTTTGATTCCCTTATCAACTACTCTTCTACATTCACTTATATTTATCTTATATTTTGCTGTACATTTTTTCCTATTCTTTCATCCTTACTATTTTATTAGCTATCACGGGAAACAGTCGACTACTGACATTACTTTTCAATGTAATTTTTCTCATAATGTAGACAAAAAGAGCTAGAAAAAAAGTTCCCTGGTCTTGGAACATAGATCTAATAAACGTAGAACATTTACTTGCAATGTAGTAGAGTACTTAGAGGTTAGAATATATAGTGAATTCTTTACGGAGAAAACCGAAAAATGTATAAATTTTCATCCACGAAAGTTTAGAAACTTCCTCAAATGAAGAAATAGAAACTAATATCCAACAATAAATTCAGATTTCGGGACCATCCCGAACTCGTCCTCATTGAGTCAGAGAATGCAGAGGTTGGGAAAGTAGGATTAGATAGATTTATAAAATAAACAAATGCATTTATATCATATATATCATAATAATTTCTTAACTGAAACACCGCATTAGAGCTGGATTAAATAAGAATAGTAAAAATAGTTCTCTATCCCAATTACAAAACTTCAGACAGTTAATTCAGTCAAACATTAGCAAAACTGGCTAAGTCGAGAATTTTATTTGAAAAGTGTCGACTTAGGCTGATTAACATGTACCAAAATAATGTAAAATGCCGTGCCCAGTTTTATACTTACAACACTAAATAAAATTTGTGGAAAATGTAACAAGAAGTACCATATAATAGGTACTATGAAGTTTTAAATAATTTGCATATTACAGTAAAAACAAAATGCCAACCACTTAAACACATCTTGTAGACATGCATGTCGTATTTGAACTACGTATGTATCCTAAACCTTCGGAGGCATAAATTTAAAATTGTAATACTGCACTATCGATCCACAACGCTCCTCACACTCCTGAATTAGTTGATTTACTCGATTTTCTTCATCCATCTCCAGCGTTTTTGCTATTAAAAAGGTACTCTCACAAAAGTCATAAATTTCTACATAATCGCCAGTTAGATCTTGATCTTCTAGATTATAGGTTACACTCGTACAATAGTAGATTAAATACTCTTTAAATTTCACAAATCGTACAAATTTTTCGTCACTAATTTTATTTTCTGCAGCAGCCAAAAGTGAATTCATAATTTCATGATCACTTCTGATGCCCCTGATATACTCAACTTTCAATTCCTTAGTGTTGTTGCGTAATTTTTCATTAGCTTTCGCTGTCAAAATACCATTTGTATCAATACTCAAGGTAGTTATACACAACTTCTACTTGACGAGGAGGTGCGGGGGTTATGTTATTAATCGATATACTACCTAAATGGCGATTCTTCCTGGCATCTAAACGCTCTCCTTCATATATTCTACATTCCATTGCAGTTTGATTAGCCTCTACATTCACATAGGTGTGTGATGCACTTGCGGGCAATTTAGAGCCCCGTTTAATAATAAAAATCATTTTCCGGCAATGGTTATCAAAACCTATAGAAAGAGGTACTACGTCGACCATTTTCAGTTGTCCGATGTGCTGTCTTGTGCTGGTTGACAACATCGCCGCTTGTAACGCTGCACCTTCAGCAACGCATTCGTCAGGGTTTGCAAACTTGTTTAATTGTTTACCATCAAAGTAATCAGAAAGCAGTTCTTGAATTTTTGGTATACGCGTGGAACCACCGCACAGAATAACTTCCTGAATTGATATTTTACGAAATCCGGAATCCTTCAAACACTTATCTAGTATCTCAGTGGTTCTCTGGAAAAACTTATAGGCCATCTTTTCAAATTCTTTCCGTGTCAAGGAGATTTTAACTTGAACGTTCGGAACCATACCATTAATAGTAATGCAGGCCTCGTTTGAAATGGAAAGTTTCTTTTTTGCTTTTTCACACTTGTTTCGTAATCTTCTTTTATCATCAGGTTTACGACTTGCATCATAGCCATATTTGTTCCTCAATTGTTGACAAACATACTCCAAAATACAATTATCTAAGTCGTGTCCTCCCAGCTGGGTATCTCCAGCTACACAAATCACATCTATGCCATCAGAACGTTTTTCGAGAATAGCAACATCAAAAGTACCGCCACCCAAATCGTAAACCAAGGAACGATGCGTTTCTTGAATATCGTGATCGTGATAATAAGCCAAAGCAGCAGCCGTCGGTTCGTTTAGAAGTTTAAGCGCGGTAAACCCAGCATCTTTAGCAGCCGCTAAAGTTACTTCTCTTTGTGTAACGTTAAAATAGGCTAGAACTGTAATAACAACCTTATTAACAGCTTCACCCAATTTTTTTTTCGTGTAATTTTTCAATTCTTTAAGCAGAGTTGTATATAATTGTTGAGAAGTCTTTGTAATGCTAACACCTTTCTGTTTAAAAGAAACAATAAGGTTGTTTGAAGAATCGGCTGAAACATCGAAAGGAAAGTATTTCAAACTTTTCTGAAGCACGGAGTCGTCATATTTTCTGCCTACAAGCCGCTTCATTTCTGCAATTCCATTTTGGTACATAATACTAATTTGTTCATTATAAAAGGAAACGTTTACCATAAATCCCATTCATGGGTGCATCCGTCGCCTTGCTTTTCGCATGCTCCCCAATGAAAACGCTCCCATCTGCGTTAAAGAATATAAATGATGGTACAATTCGTACGCCTGAATTATCTTCCAGAATTTTCATCCTGCCATTCATAAAAACGGCAACGCAAGAGTTTGTTGTACCTAGATCTATTCCAATTACTAAATCACTCATTTTGATAATCTAGGAACAGAAGCTGCACTGTAAATGTATTTATAATTAATTAGAAAATTTTTAAACAACAAACATGACATACCTATTTACCTAAGTATCTTAACTGAAGATGTTATGTTAACCTTGAGTTATATCTAAAGAAGTCTAGAAATAAACCACATAGGATCACGTTCTTAAAATTAATAACTGTAATGTTTTCGGAGGTGCCCATGAAATATGTTGTTTTTATCACAGTCAATCATAATTGTATAATCTCATTTAAATACTTATTGTGATAGCTCATAACAGTTATCTCGTCCCAGATTTACCAGTCATAACAGGTAAAAGAGGAAAAAATAAAAGAAGGCAAAATATAAATACGTAAGAAAGTACATTTAAATTTAAAGATCTTGCCCTCTCAGTGAGATGCGATTAACTATTTCATTATAAAAAAATAGATTTTATGTATGTATTTTGTGCAAAATTTTGTGTATAAAAATACAATCATGTTATTACCTTATCTACAGTGCCACTTTAATGGAGAAATTCCATGCCACTCGTCATTTTTAAAATCTAACAGAAAATAGTCCTCTTTGTAATCCTCCGTGTCCGTGTCATCCAAGAACTCAAGTTCGTCCACCTCTTTTTTTTTATATACAGTGCATCTTTGTTAAAAGTGGCCATAGGGATTCCCATGTTAAATTTTAGAACCCATGTTAACTTATGTTTGAGTAAAGATTCAGAGTTGAAATTTTTACTAGATATAAAATGGGTCATCTTTTGACGATTTTATTAACGATTACGCTTTAATTTAAAGGATATTTCTTAAAAAAAAAAAAATGTTTGCGTATTTTTGTCGGTAATATTGTAGGCAGCCATGTAAAAATTGAGATTTACCTGAAGTTTCTAAAATTTTATTACTCTTGAAATTTATGTTTAACAGTTGAACAAGGAAAATACTCCAGTTTAACAGAACTTTCAAAAACATTTAATGTTTCTCGAGCTTGCTGCCATAAAGCTTTACGAAAAGAAAAATATAAATCTTACAAGGTAAAAAATGTACATAAACTATTACCGACCGATTTTTTCAAAAGAATGGAATTTTGCGAATTGTGGATCAATAAAATCAATGAAAATGTAAATATTTTAAATTCTATTTTATTTTCTGACGAATCCACATTTAATATTAATGGGAGTGTGAACAAACAAAATTGCAGAATTTGGTCTCGAGAAAAGCCTTACATAATTCGGGAAACTCATACTCAATGGCCTGCTAAAGTAAACGTTTGGATGGGGATATTAGGAAATCAAGTAATAGGAGCATTTTTTATTGATGGCTGTCTTAACGGACAAAAATATTTAGATATGCTAATTATGATGATTGGTCCAGCTTTGGCTAATCAAAGAGCCAATGGTCAGGTTATCTTCCAACATGACCGAGCACCTCCACATGTTGTAGTTGAATTTTTAAACAATTCATTTCCTGAAAGTTGGGTTGGACGGAACGGACCTTACAAGTGGGCCCCCGGAAGTCCATTCTGTTTATTTTCTAAAATTGCAACAAAGTTGTTTAATGATTAAAGTTATGCCGTCAAAAATGACACGTTAAATTGATAAGTCAAAACCTTCTAGGATGCACTTACACTTTTTAACCAAGACAATTTTTATTTTTTAAAGCACAAATTAAAAATTTGCTGCAAAAATATGTAGTGAAAATTTAAGTAGAACCCTAAGTTTTAAAAAAGATGCACTGTATTTAACTTTGTACAATTTTATAATATCGTTAATATCCATCCAGCGGACCTGGAACATCATTAAAGAAAAATACGAATATTAATATAAAATTTAACAACAACACATAATCCTATTGGTTATTTACAAGGCGCGCAATAAAATCCCACGCGCTCGATCCAGTGTTGCCGGGTCGATACTTTGATTACAAATGTATTTTCTTTCTGGACTATATCAACATAATATAACATTTCAAGATAACAAATATGTGGTCCTGTGGTTGAAAAATTAAAAAGGGCACCGAGTATTACTATTTGAAGTAATATAGTAATATAAAAGCACTATTATCAGCCGTAAATACTCCTAGCGCGACGCACTGGTGGACCAGATCAAAGCGTCCCCACTCCTCACCATAAAACACACCTTGTTTCACCTGGGCGATTGCAGCAGCAGGATATAATTCCGCGCACTGGTTATTTGTTATACAAGACGCTAGAGGGAATCCTCATCTACGAGTGAAAACTTCACGAGTAACAGCAGTCACGAGTGGACTATTTTTCGCGAGTATATAATAGTTATTTATGTATTAAGCGCATAATTAGGAAGACTATGGGACGAGGGAATGTTTAAAGCCCGACGACGGAGACCTTTTAATTTCCCGAGGGCCACAATCGATAATTATGCCCGTGGTACATACAACGCTTTATTCTATTATAATTTCTACAATATTTTTAACGAAATATTGAGTATTTCCGGCAAGATTGTGTAAATTGTGCCGATGCGAACTTTAATAAATGGCTATTATTTTGATGTTGTTATGAATACCATGTTGTTTATTTATTAAATAATTCGATTTTCAAAGTGCAAACTGCAGAACCGGCAAACGTTTACTCAAAAGAAATTTGAGAATGATTTGATTAAATATTATTTTCCCAACTTTAATAAAAATGTGGAATATCGAAGCTTGTTTGAATAATTAATTAATATAAATGAATGATTTGTGCCATAAAGGCCAATTTATGCCCACAGTTAGGTGCTTAAAAAAACAAAATTATTCTAAGATAGAATAAAACATATTAACGATACTGTCGAATAAACAGCAATCAAATGTTTGAGTATGTGTATCGATTCAAAATTAACATGGCATCAACATGGGAAAGTTTGTAGCTGTTAAATTTTGCCCAAACATATATACTTATTGCGCAATCTTTCTAACAAAGTATCAATTAATGTACTTAAAGCTGCATAATTTGCACTCATACATACCTATCCATTTAGGTCATTGTATAATAATTTGGAGACATAGAGCTTCCACACACAAAATTTTTAGATTACAACATAGAGCGGTGAAATTTGGTCTAGAATTGGGTCTAGAGGGAAAATGTGAGTTGATTCCAACAGAAATCATCGAAGAAACTCAGAAAACATCTCAAAAGGGTAATATTATAGCCTTATAACATATCGATTGTGGATACATTTTCGTTTTTTCCAAATTTAGGTATCTCGAACAGTTTTTTCTTGATATTTGTGTTTACAGTTTTAATTTTCACGAAAATTTTCTCCTACTATTTCGCTATAAAAAAAACTACATTTTATAAAAAACACAAAAATATAAATCACTTGTTCATATGTTTTCTTCCTGCCAGATTTGTGTTTATAAATACTACATATATGTTATAATGATTATATTATATCAAGTATGTATAATTATTGATATTATCCACAAAAGAGAAACCGTCTCATTGTTAATTTTATTGAATTAGATCGTTTAAAGTAAAAACTGAAAACAATAAATTTAGACTCTATTTTGGAAACAAAGGCGACGTTGAGACGTTGGGTAGATTTAGAGAAGAAAATCCACAAGTTTCAGAAAAACTCACACAAACAATTTTTAATTTTAGTAGTTAAAATGGCTTAGTCTGAAGCATCGAAGAATTTCTAGAATGTTGAAATGAGATGAGAAAAAATTTTTTTTTTTATATAAAACTTTAAACATTGATATAAAAAAAATTGTGTATTTAAACATCTTCACATAAATATGGGCAGTAATCGAAGCTTTTTACACCCGACAAGGTATATTTATTTTTAGTTTGTTAATAACTTTTAAACTACCTAATTTAACAAAAGATTAAGTATATTTTCATACTTCCTGAGGCATAAACTGAAACTGACGAGACTGCACTACTTTGTCACAAAGTCGTTTACACTTCTGAATTAATTCTTTCACTCGAATTTCTTCATCCATTTCCAACATACCTGCTGTCGATCGCGTTTCTTTACAAAAAGTATACATTTCTTCATAAACGTCCGTTAGTTTCTGCTCCTCTAAATTGTAAGTAACAGCTATACAGTACCTAATTAAATATTGTTTATGTTTCACAAACTGTTCAAATTTTTCGTCATTAATTTTATTTTCAGCGGCAGCCAAAATTGAATTCTTAATTTCGCGATCACTTCTACCACCTCTGGTATACTCAACTTTCAATTCTTTAACGTTGTCGCATAATTTTTCTTTAGCCTTAGCGGTCAAAATACCGTTTAAATCAATGGCCAAAGTAAACACAACTTCTCGCTGACCAGGAGGTGCCGGAGTTACATTATTTATTGTTATTGTTCCTAAACGACGATTTTTTCTTACATCTAAGCGCTCTCCTTCATATATTCCGATCGAAAACGAAGTATCATTTCCCCCTAAATTTACATAAGTGTGTGACGCACTTGCGGGTAATTTAGAGCCCCGTTTAATAGTGAAAATCATTTTACCGCACAAGCTGTCGAAACCTATAGAGAGAGGTACAACGTCGACCATTTTCAGTTCTTCAATTGTTTGTCTTTTGCTAGTAGATAGCATAGCTGCTTGTAACGCTGCACCTTCAGCAACACATTCGTCAGGGTTTGGAAACTTGTTTAATTGTTTACCACCAAAGTAATCAGAAACCAGTTCTTGAATTTTTGGTATACGCGTGGAACCACCGCACAAAATGACTTCCTGAATTGATGATTTAGAAAATTTAGAATCCTTTAAGCAATTATCTAATATATCAATTGTTCTCTTGAATAACTCGTCCGCCATACTTTCGAATTCCTTCCTTTTCAAGGTGATTTTAATCTTAGGATGATTAGGAACCATTCCGTTAATAGTAATCACGGCCTCATTTGCATCGGACAGTTCCTTTTTAGCTTTTTCACACTTATGACGCAATCTTCTCTTATCGTCAGAATCACATTGCGGGTCATAATCATATTTATCCCTCAACTGCTGATAAACATATTCCAAAATACAGTTATCTAAGTCGTGTCCTCCCAGTTGGGTATCTCCAGCTACACAGACCACGTCTACGTTATCAAAGCGTTTTTCGAGTATAGCAACATCGAAGGTACCACCACCCAGGTCATAAACTAAAGAACGATGAGTTTTCTCAATATCTTGATCGTAATAATAGGTTAAAGCAGCCGCTGTTGGTTCGTTTAGAAGCTTCAACACAGTGAACCCAGCATCTTCAGCAGCAGCTAAAGTTGCTTCTCTTTGGGTAACATTAAAATACGCAGGAACGGTGATCACAACTTTCTTAACAGTCTCACCTAATTTTTCTTCCGTGTAATGTTTCAGTTCTTTGAGGAGGATCGTATATAGTTCTTTTGGAGTTTTTCTAACGGTAGCACCTTTCTGTTTAAAAGAAACAACGGGGTTATTTAAAAAATCTGCTGAGACCGTAAAGGGAAAGTACTCCAAACTCTTCTGAAGCAACAGATCATCAAACTTTCTGCCCACAAGCCTTTTCATTTCTGCAATTTGATATATGTCTACAAAGTTAGTTGGTTAACAATAAACGAAACGGTTACCATATATTCCATTTTTGGGTTCATGCACCGCCATGTTTTTTGCATGCTCTCCAATGACGACAATTCCATCTGGTTGGAAGCATATGAATGATGGTATTATTCGCGCTCCGGACTTATATTCTAAAATTTTGAGCTTCTTATTCATAAAAATGGCAACACAGGAGTTTGTTGTCCCCAAGTCTACTCCAATCACTAGATCACCCATTTTGATACCCTAAACAAACTTACACTGTTACATGGAAGTATAGTTTATGTCAAGCATGATACATCGTAAGTGAAAGTAATATTGTACTTACCTAGAGTTACAACAGAAGAGTATAATTGTTTAAAATAAATCACATAAACTACATATCCGAAGCAGATACTTGGATATTCTTCACCTTAAAATTTACTTTATCGCGATCAGCCGGAATTTTATACGAGCAATTAAGTTCCTGATAACAGTTATCTGTCTCCTTCAACTTTTGCAAATAATAATTGTAGATAAAGAAAGACGGGATCAACGGAAACACTACATCAGTTTTCGTAAAATTTTCTCTCCCTTTTCTTTATTATTTATTTTAGAAAATCAATTAAGTGTTTGAAGATATTACTGAGATTTATAAATTACTTTATGTTAGTGTAAGTAAACAATTATACACTTTAAGTTACTTACCGTTAAAACAGGTTTTTATTTTGATGCGACACTTGTTTAATGGGAGTGTAAACACGTAGTGGAAATAAGAGTAGGTAAAATTTAGTTTGTACCTTCAAAATGGGGCCATTATTTAAACACGGTGAGTTCCATTCGGCACCACCGTATCCCTCCAAAGCACGTAATTAATTATTAAGGATTTTCTAATCAGAAATGTGTAAAAAATAAACGATACATTAACACGTGTTATTCTTGTTTGATTATAAATTCAGAGTTGATGATTTTGAAATGTTCGTATAAAACACCTGTCAACAAATTCACTTAACCAGACTTTACTCCTTTGTTTATCAAGTTGTAACTAAAGTTCTGGATGTTTTACTTGAGCATTACATTATGTCTCACTTGTTAACTTCTCACCTGAGATTGCTAATGGTTTATTTATGGCATTTAAACTGGTCGTAAACGTTGATTTATTTTGAAAGAAAGGATCTTGAAATTTCCATCAGTCAAATTAAGAGCTTCGGAAAAAAACGGGAGGACTTTGATATTTTCTTACAGGTTTAATAGTTAGTTACAGGTCTAATTATTTCTACATAAAACAAATTGTTTTTGCGGATTGAATTTGAACATTTATTCCCGACGGTGCCGCTCTAGACCGCAGCGTTTCCGAGACCAGCTTATTGCGATTTTCATCGTATTGAATATGTTCCGTCTTCGCATTAATTTTTATTTTTATTTTCACTTTAAATTTATCAGTATAATTTATAATAATTGTAATTTATTAAAATGGAGGTAGCATTGTAAAGTTATAATTTTTTTTTTTTCCTGCCAAGGTTTTAATCCTTAATATTCTTTAAGTTTCACATTTATTAAATTCGCGGGCGTATAAACAAGCGAAGGTCTCTTTTTTTTCCTTAACGTTTTTGGGACTCTGGCAAAAAAAAAAAAAACCTTCCGAAAAAGAAGCTAGTGAAACCTCGAGCAGAAGCTACACGCGACGCGTTACAGTGTACATCGCATCCACATTTTCCGCATACTCAACCACTGCAAGTTCGTGCTACTGCATCAAACTCTTCCAGACTGTGATCAAAAGGAACCGGGGTAAGTGACCTTCCTTGTGCGAAATCTAGTCCTTTATTCTCTAACCAAATTTAGAGCCGCATTTTATACATTGGTCCTTCGAGCCGGATTGAAGCCTTGTAAAGGTCGATATTATTCCTGTAACATTTGATACTTATCTGGAATCATTATTAATAACTGTTACCTCATCATTAAGAACCATTTTCGCATTTTCACTCACAATTGATAAACTCACGCAAAAACACTGCTCTTTCTTTACAATATTGTCAGTATTCAAAGAAAGCGACCAAGTTAATTTTATCCATACTGCTATTTTCAAATCTTCTCAACGGACGCTAGCACATCGTTGCATTTTAATTTGCACTTGATAATTAGCAGTTTTTATCGCATATTCGCACTATCACATTGAGGCATAAAAAGACTAATTCTTTTGTTTCCACTCCTTGAGTAATTGACGTGTTTACGATTTCGTTTAAAATCTTGGGATAATGGCTCATGCTGAAAAAGTGAAAAGGAACAAGTTACATCGCCAAACCGCGATTAATCGTCTCAATGAACTCAACACTCTTGCATTAGCATCAATAGATCATGTACCATGGCGCCTTGAGTTTCAAATGCGCATGGAAAGCATTAATGATATTCAAACTGAATTTTTTAAATTACATAATGCCATTATTGGCTTAATTGAGGACGTCGATGATGCATTCAAAGTGGAAGATGAAGTAAGAAAAGTTTTGAAACAACTTTTTATCATGTCAAGTCCGTTTATCACAAGATTTTTGTCTCATCATCGACAGCTTCAACTGAGGCTAGTACAAGTGCTAAAATCAAACTTCCAAAAATCGAATTACCTACCTTTTCAGGAGACATCATTACTTTTACACCCTATATCGAAATGTATCAATCACTTATTCATAGATCCGCAGAGCTAACTAACATTGAAAAATTTAATTATTTACTAGCATCTCTCAAAGGTGAAGCTTTAGCATTTATTCAGCATATTCCTGTTACATCGGACAATTATACAGTAGCATATAATGCTTTAATACAAAGGTATCAGAACAATCGACTAATTCTCAATGCACATTGGCAATATCTGGATAAAGCCAAAAGAGTTAATGCTGATAATCCTCAAGATATCCGCGATCTTATTGATAACTTTGCCAAAAATGTTCAAGCTATTAAGAATTTTACATTACCTGTAGATTTATCCGATTTTCTTTTATTTTCTTTGATGATTAAAAAAATAGACTCAACATTAGTGACACGTTTTGAACTTCATCATAATTCTTCGGATATTCCTACCTACGCACAACTTGTAAAGTTTTTAGAACAACAATGGAGTGCCTTAGAAAATGCCAATACAATTCCTAAACCTCGCTCAAAAAAAGTTGAGTCTTATAATAAAAATAAATTCAAGTTAACTAATCCCACCACTTCCTTCCTTCTAAACTCAACTCCCATTCAATGTAGCATTTGTAATAATGGACATTTAATTTACAAATGCTCTGAATTCATTTCTAAGTCTCCCAATGAACGTTATAATATAGCAAAATCAAAACGTCTTTGCTTAAATTGCTTAAGCAAATTTCATTCCACTATCAATTGTAACTCAAGTCAAAACTGCCACAAGTGCAGTCAAAAACATCATACACTTCTGCATTTTGACAGCTCTAAGAATTCACCCTCATCTTCAGAAACGCAACCTACCACCACTACGTTGATTTCTCAAACTCCTAACAATATTTCTCGCTTACATAAATCGTCGTGTGTATCCAACACAGTCCTGCTTTCTACTGCAAGGGTCGCAGTACTTTCTTCAAGAGGATTTCCTCAAATCTTTCGAGTTCTATTAGACTCCGCATCGCAAAGCTCTTTCATTACTAGCAAAGCTTTTCACAAGTTAGGACTCCCTAAGAAACGAACTAGCATACTGGTTCATGGATTAGGATCAACTTCTACTCGAACCCCGCACGGTGCAACTACCTTTTCCATACGACCCACTGATAAAACATTTCCCGAAATACAAGTCGACGCTTACATTTTACCAAAAATTTGTGATCCTCTGCCATCAACTCATATTTCTTCTCAACACTGGTCTCACATAAAATCAAATTTACCCCTCGCAGATCCAGAATTTGCCAGTCCTGGTCATATCGACATGTTACTCGGAGCTGATGTTTTTTCCAGTCTTTTCCTGGGAAATAAAATTTCTGGTCATCTTGGTGAACCAGACGCAATTCAAACTATCTTTGGTTATGTACTCATGGGCCCAGTTACTACCCTTCGTGAGTCTCCTATTCGCACCTTTGTCATGACTTCGGACGGAACCCCTTCTTTAGAAGAAACTGTGTGTGAATTTTGGGAACTCGAAACAGTTCCTCCTGCCACAATCGTTTCACCTGATGACGCACTCTGTGAAAAATTATACTCTGAGTCCCATTATCGTAACGAAGACGGTCGTTACGTTGTAGCTTTACCCTTCAAAAGCCCTAGGCCGATCTTTCCGACATCTCGAGAACTCGCCGTTCAACGCTTTCTATGGTTAGAAAAACGTCTTCAACGCAATCCCGAATTATATCAACAGTATTCTGCCTTTATGCAAGAATATCTCGATTTAAATCATATGGAGCTTGCTGATGTGCCATCCGGGGATTCTTCCGCATTTTTTTATATTCCGCATCATAGTGTACTTAAGCCTGACAGTCTCACCACCAAGTTACGTGTCGTCTTTAATGGCTCAGCATCACTTCCTCATCAATCATCGCTGAATGATCATCTTTATGTCGGTCCTAAATTACAACGCGATTTAATTTCTATTCTTTTAACTTTTCGCTTACACAAAGTTGTTTTTGTTGCTGACATCAAAATGATGTATCGCCAGATTCTAATCACCCTCGAACATCGCGATTACCAACGTATTATATGGCGATTTTCACCCAACGAACCTCTGGCCGATTTTCGATTACGAACTGTTACATACGGACTCTCTTCCGCTCCATATTTGGCCATTCGTACTTTACTTCAGCTAGCCAACGACGCAGGTGCTTTATTTCCCTCAGCTGCAACCATTCTTCAAGAAAACACATATGTTGACGATATAGTTACTGGTGCATCATCTTTAGAAGCTGCTCGTGAATTAAAATCACAATTGATATGCCTATTAAAACAAGGTTGTTTCGAACTGCGTAAATGGGCTAGCAATGAGCCAGCTTTACTGGATGATTTGCCTGAATCACACCTTGCCAATCAATCGCGATCATTTGAAACCGATCAGGAAACCTCTCTGAAAATTTTGGGATTACAATGGACACCTTCGTCAGATTGCTTTCACTTTCATACACAACCATTTAATCGTCTTTGTACTAAAAGGCAAATATTATCACATCTCGCCCGCATCTTTGACCCTTTAGGGATGTTAAGTCCAGTTACCTTTATCCTCAAGCATTTAATACAACAATTCTGGATTCTCAAACTGGATTGGGATGACACTCCTCCAAATGAAATCATTCGACTATGGGAATCCTTTATAAATGATCTCCCCTGTTTTCAAGACTTGCGAATACCTCGTCGTATCATGCCTGATACCTTTTTGTCGTGTCAATTACATGGTTTTGGAGATAGTTCGGAAAAGGGATATTGCGCGGTCGTTTACTTTGCATTTATTCTTCCTTCTGCAGAGATCACTACCTCCTTTGTTTGCGCTAAGTGCAAAGTAGCCCCTTTAAAACGATTGTCCATACCACGCTTGGAGCTCTCTGCTGCGGTTTTGTTAACTCGTCTGATCAATTATATTTGTCGTATCTATCAAGATCTTTTAACATTTAGTCGCATATGTGCATGGTCAGATTCGCAGGTGGTCTTGTCATGGATTAACTCTCCTCCACATCGTTGGAAAACCTTTGTGAGTAATCGAGTGTCTTTTATTCAAGAAACGCTTCCATCCTGTCACTGGTTATATTTACCTTCCTTAGATAATCCAGCTGATATTGGTACTCGTGGATTACTACCCTCTAAACTATTGCAAAGTTCGCTTTGGTGGGCGGGACCAGCTTTTCTCCGATCTACTACAAGCTTCCCTGATTCAGTTATAGAACCTTCTCCCCTAGCTTTGGAAGAAGAACGCAAGGTCGTTTTAATACCACCGACCCTCATTTTATCGATACCCTTATTGATAAATTTTCGTCCTTCAATAAAGTAATACGATGTGTAGCTTTCGTACGCCGTTTTTTCTATAATTTAAAACGTCAAGAAAGAGAAACCGGACTGACTTTGAAATCTTCTGAACTTCATTCTGCCGTTCTGGATATTGTTCGTCACGTTCAATCCACTCAGTTCTCAGATGAATTGTCAGCTATGAGAAGTAATAAACGTCTTCCAAAATCATTTCAAAAATTGTCGCCCTTTATCGATAACAATAATATCCTACGCGTTGGTGGTCGTCTCAAAAATTCCCCACTCTCTTTTGAGGAAAATCACCCAGCTATCTTACCTTCACATCACCGGTTTACTGATCTTCTAATCTCGCATATCCATAATAAATATTATCATGCCGGAAATCAAACCGTTCATTTTTTATTATTGCATCAATTTTGGATTTTAGCCCCTAAACGTGCCATTCGGCGAGTATTGTCTAAATGTATTCGATGTTTTCGAGCTAATCCAGTTCCAGTTCAGCCTCCTATGGGTAATTTACCTCCCTCTAGGTTAATTCAGGCGAAGCCTTTCTTACACACCGGTGTAGATTTTGCAGGCCCTTTTACCATAACCATGTCAAAAGGTCGTGGAGCCAAAAAATTGAAAGCATATCTATGTATTTTCGTATGTCATGTCACAAAGGCGTTACATCTCGAGCTCGCGTCTGACTTATCTAATGAGATTTTTTTAGCAGCTCTTCGTCGATTTCTTGCTAGACGCGGTCGATGTCAACATTTATATTCCGACTGTGGAACCAACTTTGTTGGTGGTCGTAACCAACTTCAACATTTAATGCATACCGCTGCAAATGAAGAAACCATTTCTTGGCATTTCAATCCTCCTTCCAGTCCTCACTTTGGAGGTTTGTTCGAAGCGGGAGTGAAGTCTGTCAAAACGCATCTCATGCGCGTAGTCGGCGACCATTTGTTAACATATGAAGAATTAATGACGTTATTGGTGCAGATTGAATCCATGCTTAATTCCCGTCCTCTAACTCCTGTCAGTCATGACCCTAATGATCTGTCAGCTCTATCACCTAGTCATTTCTTAACCTTTGAGCCATTGGTTGCTCTACCGGAACCAAATTTAAGAGATCTTCCTCTTAATCGTCTTAAACGATTTCAGCTTATTCAAAGGATGTTTCAAGACCTCTGGTCCCGATGGTCTAATGAATATCTTCATACCTTGCATCAGCGATCCAAGTGGTTTAACCCTTCTGTACCGATTAACATAGGCACTTTAGTAGTTATCAAAAATGAAGTAATGTCTCCCCTGCATTGGCGACTTGATCGTATAACCGAAGTACATCCTGGAAATGATGGAATTATTCGAGTCGTTACTATTAAGACCAAAGCAGGATTTGTCAGACGTCCCGTTGTGAAGATTTGTCCTCTTCCAATAGAAACGTAATTTTCCCGAAAAAATCCATGCGATTTTTTGGTGGGCGGTAATGTTCCGTCTTCGCATTAATTTTTATTTTTATTTTCACTTTAAATTTATCAGTATAATTTATAATAATTGTAATTTATTAAAATGGAGGTAGCATTGTAAAGTTATAATTTTTTTTTTTTTTCCTGTCAAGGTTTCAATCCTTAATATTCTTTAAGTTTCACATTTATTAAATTCGCGGGCGTATAAACAAGCGAAGGTCTCTTTTTTTTTCCTTAACGTTTTTGGGACTCTGGCAAAAAAAAAAAAACCTTCCGAAAAAGAAGCTAGTAAAACCTCGAGCAGAAGCTACACGCGACGCGTTACAGTGTACATCGCATCCACATTTTCCGCATACGCAACCACTGCAAGTTCGTGCTACTGCATCAAACTCTTCCAGACTGTGATCAAAAGGAACCGGGGTAAGTGACCTTCCTTGTGCGAAATCTAGTCCTTTATTCTCTAACCAAATTTAGAGCCGCATTTTATACAGAATATGTGTTTTTATGTGATATTCGAATTAATGCATAATGCAATCTCAAGTAAATTCTTTGTTGTTGATAACTGTTGAAAGAATGTGACGTAATTAACTGTTGTATGCTTCATTTTTTGTAATTCTAATACTCATTCAGTTGTTATAAATTCTAGAAGGATGACCCCGTTGCCGCGGGCATAGTTAGCTGCAGTGCCCAATTTATGCCGTCGATGAATCAGGTCGTCTAGTTGGCGGTGCCTTCTTTGCAGAATGGAAATAAGTTTCAATGGTTGGGGCAGACAGGACTTCAAGAGGAGATGCTCGTTATGCCACTTTTGCTACGTATCCACACGCTACATATTTTGTTTTTCACTAAACATTTTGATGCTCGACTGCCATAACTTAAATTTGCCACACATTCTAAATAACTTGTTTATTCGCATTTAGTTACTTTTGTATATTTGTGACATTGAAATAATTATTGTTGAGGACTGAAAAGGGTTTTTGAAATGAATAAACGATTTTTATCCTCCATCTTCTGTGTTTGATTTAGGGGCACTTTTCCAACCTTAGGGTTCACCATTTGGCATTTGAACGCATTCCGTCACAAAAAACAAACACACACACACGACGTATAGTAGATATTTAAGGTGAGATCTAAAAAAATTAAACCGAAACACATACAGAATATGTTATTTCACTTTTGATCTTGATGAATAACACCAGTACAATCTAGATTTTGATCAAACAAGTCCTTTATTTATAATTCCGATCAACAGTATTCTATGGGTTTTGATAATTTTCTAAATACGCCAAAATTAAAAAGTATATGCCACCTTTTTCATCAAGAATGTTCTTGGTATCGATTTTTTCCTAGTCGGGTGTGTAACTACTTAATTAAGCTAAGCTAATTATGTTCTCTTTATAACATATCTTAAAAATATTCAATTTTGTCTTCACATCATACCACACAAAGGCAAATTGATCAAGATCGAAGGATTTTTTTTATATAAATGAAACGTATTTATCTACATACTTACCTCTACTCGGTCCTTTTCGCCTCTTGTAAAATTACCTCATACGTGTATGGAGTTTCTTACCATAGTAATTCACTTAAGTTTTAAAAAGGGAATAATTTCTAATGCTAAAAGAATGTGAGCTTTTAGAAATGAGTGACTATTTTATCAGTTCTTTTGTTTATAATATGTGTGGCGGCACAATAACGCGTTGGTAAGCGGAGAAAGATAAGCGGCCTCGTAGTGTAGTGGTCAGGCTACATGTTTTGTGGTATGCCCTGGAATTAAGTCTATAGTTTTTCCAAACAATGCACCTATAACAGACAATACTAGTGCACCTAATTTCTCACGTTTATTAAGGTTAATATAGACTTGTATAATTGTACTAGACTTCTTACATTTACATACTTAAATATATTAAATATATTGACATATTTTAGCACAAAGTATTTGTAAAACAAGCGGGAGCTTTGTAACCACATACTTTGTTTATATAAATTAAGGTTTTTGGGTGAAACCATGGTCGTATCTTGAATTAGCGGCGCTTCTTAAGATCACGTTGATTTCTTGCTAACTATATTTCATATGTACTTGCTTAGAAACATCAAACAATTTAATCCAAAGAACGCAGCATATCCGAGAATGCTGACGGTCTACAACAAGTAATCAACAGTTGCTCTCAACGACATATATACAATTTTAACATCAACTTACATTACAATTTATAAAGAAATAATTATTCGTCAATCGCGTTGTTGTCAAGATGACGAATTAAACTTTTCACGTAGTCAATAACCTCAACCACTTCCTTCAGCAGGTCTGCATTTTTGCCACACACAATCTTGTCCAGCTCCTCCAATATGCGTACTAAATTTTCATGAATGACGTAATAATCCACGGAATAATTCGTACCCAAATAAAATTTCACACTCTCTTCATAAGTTTCGGCTCTTTTCCGAATCAACCGAACGAACTCAATACTGTGTTTAGAAACATCAAAAGAATCAGTATTAAAATCAAAGTGACTTTTCAGTTCCAACATTGATTCAGGTTGTTTTACAGTAACGACGTAATTAGCTAACGTCGCATCCACTGTTTGTAAACACTTATATAATTCTTTAAGAAAGCTCTGCTTTTGAGAATCCAATTCTGGATTTCCTTGGGGCATGTCTTCGACGAAGTTTTTCAGGAAAAAAAGCTTATCGACTACGTTCTTGAAGACATCTTGTGGTACAACTGGTGCATTTGATTTTATAGATTCTTTAATGCCTTCCAAGACTCCAGTTTTCTGTATAATGTCAAGTTTACTCCTTTCAAAAGCGATTTTTGTCTCAATATCTGACACCTTGTTCAAAACATCCAAATTATACGAAGATTTTTTTATTGAGCTAAGAACATTTTCATGACTTTTCAATAATTCTATTCGTTTTTCAAAAGATAGTTCCTTCGAATATGAAAGTATTAATTGTTCGATATCATTCAAAGAATACATACATTCGCAAGTCTCTTCGTTCTTTTTCGCCATGTCTTCTAATAAAAACAAAGTTAAATTCACCGTATTTGACATAATATCAGTCGCACGACCATCGCTACTAAAATACTCTACAGCTTTATGTGCGAAACTGAAAATTTCGTTGCGCTTTTGAAGATAAGATTCGGTTGAAACAGAATAAATATACCCTTGCGCTTGATTTTCATACTCATTTAACTTAATTTTGATTTCTTGGAAAGCTTGTGGACAGTTTGCCACAATTTTTGCTTCCACGCTTTGTAAGAACAGACGAATTTCTTTTTTCTTTGTCATCACCCTACTGCTGAAATTGTTTTCAACCTCGCCTATTTTATGGCGAAGCTGATTGAAGAATTGAAGAATTGATAAAGCGTCTGTAACTGTGTCACAGTCAACATTTGCCGCTTCATTTTTTATGTTTTCTAAGTAACTTAAAGCAGAAATTAGCTGTCCATTATATATCCCTTGATTATTTAAAATTTCCAAGATACTGCGAATTTTGGTGCTTGTATTCTGCTTAAAAATTTCCATGCAACGATATTCTTTTGGTAATTCTTCAACCTGCTTCAAAAGCATTCTCACCTCTTCACATTTAATCTCATAATTTGTAACGTAAAATGGAAAAGGAAATTGTTCTGCGTACATTTTCTGCTGCTTGAGAGTTTTACAAATTCGTTTCAAATTGTTACTTATTTCAAAAACAATCGTTCCTTCAATCATGTTTAAAACTTGCAGTTTTTGGATACAGATGTCATTGTAGTTGTTGGTAATAGCATTAACTTTTTCTTTGCATACTTCCAAAAGTTTTTTCTTCTCCATGAAATCAACATGTGACGAAACAATCTGAAAAACTTCTTCTTCTATCTTCTTAAGCAACTTAAAAATGTCGTTAATTTCTTTAGTTGCTTTTTCTATGTTTATCAACTTGGTCGAAAGCCCAGTACCTTTCTTCCGTAAGATTTCTTTTCTTTGAGCAATGTCCTCATTTTCTGCTTTTACTTGTTTCAGTTTATCTATAGTTAACTCGTTTATCCGTTTTGACAAATCTCCCACAAGTTTACCGTCAATGGGAGGGTAAAGCCTTTCTATGATTTTTTCACAATCATTTAAATTATCTTCTATGTATTTTAACAAGTTATGACTCTTCTTGACTTTACGTGCAAAGCTTGCTGTTTCTTGAAAATTGGCCTCGGCGCTAAACCGACCTAAAATTTTGACCATAAACTATCGCAAAAATAAAGTATTTACTCTTCTTACTAGAATTTGAATTCCTGCTTGATTCTCCATTTCTCCCACTTTTTCGATTCATTTCCATTATTCCTTCTCGACTGAGATTGTAGATAAGGTTTGTTTTAGACTTTATCTTTATTAGATTTTTTTTCGTCTGTTGTGCGTTAAATGGACTTACATTCCTGTAATCGAACCGATCAAAATTTTTAATAACCTGATTTAAGTTCTGCGAAGTTTCTTCTAATATGGTGGAAACTTTTGTTTTTGGGCATTTTAAATATATTTTTAAAAATAAAATGGAAAGTTTTTCTTTTTCTTCGTCCTTCATGTCAGCGGCAGGAAAAGTATAGAGCCTCTGGCTACACGCAGCCACTGTTTTCAGTAAGTTGTGATACTTACTTTCCTCTATTTTATCCTCTTCCACGTTCTTCATAATACTAAGCAACTGAGTTTTTAATTCATAGAAATCTCTGTCAACTAAAAAATAACACATTTGTAGATTACTTCCTCTTTTTTTGGAGTAATGTAAATAAATGATCCTACTTCTTTGTTAAAGATACAGACAAAAATACCCACCTTCAGGTATATTTTTCCCTTGAAAATTTTTAACCGGTAGTTTGTCCAATTGTTTGATGGCTACAGTAATTGAATCCTGAATTTTAAATGACTTCTTTGGTAATATATTCTTTCTCTTAGATTCTTGTTCTATCTGTTTTTGGTAAATCTGCAACGCTGCTATTATTTGGTTCTTTACATATTTATCGATATTTTCTTCTTCGTCTTTTATTTTGACAGTCAAACCAATCACATCCGACTCAATTCTTGCGGTATTAACCGATTCTTCTTTAGCAAAAAAGATTCCCATAACTAAAACAATAAACAAGAAATTATGTCTACTGTGACTAATTTAAAACAATTACACAGCACGCAGTGTCTATTAATATATTATTGAAAAAATCAGACACTTCAAAATCACCTAAACGGTTGATAATCATCAGTTCTTTGATTTAGAAGCTGACATGTGGTGTGAAGAAAATAGCCGCAATGATAATCGTGTGAGATAAAAAAAATATATAATTAATAAATAAAACAATAAAATTATAAAATTTATTTATTTCTTTACATATTTATAAGACACATAAAACCCTTCCTAACAGTACCATATGAAAATCAGTGTTCGATGAGTCTGAACCGGGACAAATAAATATAATATAAATTGTATACTTTTCCTCGATGGTCTGAACTCGATTAACAACTGGCATGAACTCAATCTAATAAAACAGGGCCAGTGATGTTAATATAATAAAGATCTGAGTTGGAAGAGCATGGCATTGACGAATTGGAGAGCAGAAGGTATGGATCCTCTCCACACAGCCTTTAAGATGGTGTGCTTATAATCTAGAACTTAGTTGTAGGGCCAAACTGCTCATTATAAGAGCACGATTTCTGTTATATAGGAACTAGTCGATGTAGGAACCTTAAGGTGTGCCAGCTACAGAAATTACGTGTAAAACCGAAACAAACAACTTCAAAAGAATCTCTTTGTAAAGACTAATTTTCTGTTTAGAGTTTCCCGAACATAAAAAAATCTTGAGCTCCTATTTTTAATGAAAATTCTTGATGTTGAAATACACACAAAACTCATGTAACCATTTTCATATAAAACTTCAAGCCACATACTAAAGCCAGCGCTTACGATACCCACCAAACTGTAACAGACGCATTTTTTTTCCTGAAATAATAAAATGTTGTGTGTTATCGAATGTTAACAGGAAATCAAAAAAGGTTTCATATTTAATGCACAGGTTTTAAAGATTTAATAATTTAATTACTACATAACATGATGAATTTTTGTTATAACAGAATAAGAATATGTTATAGACGAAAAATTATAGAGGATAATAAAATAATCTTAATCAAATATATGTAAATATAATGTAAAAATGTTATATATACCCACACTAGGCACGAATCAGTTAGAAATTGAAGCAGGCATAAGTTCAAACGAATAAAATTTAACAAAAGGCTCACACTGAACTTTAATTTCTTGTATTAATTCCTCTACTCTCTTTTTCTCTTCAAGACTCATACTTTCTGCCGTGTTCATAGTTTCTTCACACATTTCGTAAATTCCTCTATGAGTGTTATTTAACTTTTTTTTGTCTAAGTTATACATTACACTGACGCAATATTTAATTAGATAACCCTTCAATTGTGCAAATTGTTGAAAAAGTTGATCCTCTTTCTTATATTTTTCTGCGTCGAGTATACTATTATTGATTTCTTCTTCACTTTTGTTGCCTCTGGCGTAATTTATCTTTAGCTGTTTAACATTGTTTTTATATTTCTCTTGTGCGGTGACAATCAAGATGCCATTTGCGTCTACAGCGAATGTTACTATAGCTTCGCAACGACCAGGAGGGGCAGGAGTTATATTAGTAATTTCAAAGTGACCCAGAAGGCGATTTTTAATAACGTTTAAACGTTCACCTTCAAAAACTCTAAACGACATAACACTTTGTCGATTTTCAAGAGTCCTATAACTTTCAGTTCCGCGTGCAGGTATCGTAGAATTTCGTGGTATTACAATACTCATTTCATTAACAAAGTCAGCAAGCCCAAGCGATAATGGAACCACATCGATCAATTGAATTTTGCCGATTACTTGCCTGGAACTTGTCGACAACATTGCAGCTTGAAGAGCCGCTCCTTCTGCAACACATTCGTCCGGATTAACAAACTTATTAATTGTTTTTTCGTCAAAAAACCCACAGAGCAATTTCTGAATTTTCGGTATGCGCGTTGACCCTCCCGACAAAATCACCTCTTTGATAGAATTTTTCGAAATTGTCGAACCTTTAACGCATGCATCGACTATATCCATCGTACGCTTAAATAATGGATCCGCGATTGTCTCAAATTCTTCTCTCGTTATACTTATCTGAATGTTGGGATGGTCTTTAACAAATCCAATAAGGACTATCACAGTTTCCGGAACCGAAGATAAAGCTTTCTTCGCGTCTTCACATTTATTGTGTAGTCTTCGCAGATTTTCCTTGTCGTTTCTAGGGTCGTAGTCGTAGTGTTTTATTAGCTGCTCAGCAACGTAATTTACGATGATATTATCAAAATCGTGTCCGCCTAGTTGTGTATCGCCGTCTACGCAAACAATCTCGATGTTGTTTGAACTCCTTTTGAGAATAGCGACGTCAAAAGTTCCACCCCCCAGGTCGTACACCAACGAATAATTTTCCTCGCTTTTATCGTACTCAAAATAGTAGAAGAGCGCAGCTGCTGTTGGTTCGTTTAACAATTTCAGAACTGTGAATCCAGCATCTTCAGCAGCAGCTAACGTAACTTCTCTCTGAGTCACGTTAAAATACGCAGGAACTGTGATCACGACTTTGTTCACGGTTTGTCGTAGTTTAGCTTCCACGTCACTCTTGAGCTTCTGCAGGATTATGGAACATAGTTCTTGAGGAGTTTTCTTCAGTACCTTATTTCTTTGCTGAACTACAACCAAAGGAGTATTTGATTCACCCCTTTCTACTTTAAATGCGAGATACTTCAAGTTCTTCTGAACGTAAGAATCGGTGAACGTTCTCCCGACAAGGCGCTTGACCTCTGAAATATTTTTTATTTATAGATATGCAAATTTGAATTTGAAAGATTCCTACCATAGATACCATGGTCTGGTTTAGTGGCAGCAATTCTCCTCGCATGCTCACCCACAACAGGATCATCTATGCTTGTAAAAAATATAAAAGAGGGCGTAATACGGCCACCATCGCTGTTTTCTAGTATTCTTGTCTTCCCATCAAGATAAAGAGATACGCAGGAATTGGTTGTCCCCAAATCAATACCAATGACCAAATCTTCCATGAGTACAAGTATTAATTCAACCTGGAACAATTTATTATATAAAATCCATCTACCTACCACATAAAAGATTTTTTTTTCTACACGACAGTCACGTTCACTGAACATAAACATCATATAAAACGGAAGGGATATTAAAACAAACCGGAACGTGGAAACAAAGTTGCCTTTTCCTTAAAAAAATGCGTGATCCCCATAGTTTCATATCATATAGTTCACATGTACTTTGGGTGAAAACCCAGAGATGATTTTTGCGGTGAAAATGGCCTCAGGTTAATTTCCACTACCACTTTTTGCAGTAAATTGTTAATTTGCGCTTTAAAAAAGTTTACTTATGTCGTTTGTAATGTAACTTACATTACATGCCGCGTAAGTAAACTTTTTTGCCGAGGCTAAGAAAGAACTCGCGCGGCATGTATTGTATTACGTTTTTTCTGCCACCGGCACCAGTAACAATAAAAAGTAATAATTTTAATAATTAAAAAAATATTTAACAAATTATCAGAAATGTGTTGGATGTATATTTCGTTTCCGTGGTAACAAGTTGTTTGCATTAATGAAATTGATAAAAATGGTTCTTCAAAGTAAAAAATGAGTTTGTCAAGTGAATTAAGAGTAATAGAAGAGGCTGCCGATCGTCCCTGCGCTTGTCTATTACCAGAAAAATTACAAGTACGATATAGTCAAACATATAACGCATTTTCAAATTGATTAGTTCTTAACTAAAACAAAATATTGACATTTCTTTGACATTCATTATTATTTTGTCCTGGCAGCGTAAATACCTCTTACGCGCTTAGCAACCTATACTATCCTTTATACTATTTGGATGAATTAACAATACAATTCATATATTTGCCCATTTAGTTCCCCAAGGAACACCTCCCGTTACTGACGTGGCTAACAACATGGTTGCCCTATCTACTGCACTGATGTTTACGTCACTGTCATTGTAGTAATAAGATTCACTAACGCTGGCGGTGACAGAAAAAATTTTTCTTAAAAAATTTTGGTACATCATAGGAGGTTTTGACTTACCATTTTAACTTGTCATCTGTACCTATCCAAACTGAAAATAGAAAAAAGTTGATGACATCATTACAAAATTTTATTACTTTCACTTCTGTTTTTTACTTCCTAAATGTAAAGTCAAAAAAATTCAGTTTACAGAATAATATTTTATTATATTTATAATTATAAATTGATCTAAGAAAGTAACATCCTGGGTGCATGTCAAATTGGCGACAATTTGAATTTTCTACAATGCGCGCATGCGCATAACAGACAATTAGGACAATTTTAAATTAGGACACTTTAATTTACACGAGGGGACAGACTATTTCCTGAAAACAATTGTGCATTTATTGTTCTATTCCAATACAATTAAAAGATTAACGTGATTTACCCAGAAAAATGAAAAATCAAATATTTCTGTATCTCTGTTTCGCGTAACAACGTAAACACTGAAAAGTACAAACATATTCCGGCCGATTTGGCGAAATCTGCTCGAGCAAAATCGATGTGGAAATACACATTTTGATCATAGTTAACACTAGTGTACCTAAATAATATAACGATAAGAGTAGAGCAAACACTGACAAGTGACAGCAATTTTTGATCCAAAACTAATGCCAAAAGATCAGTGGCGTTACGAGGAAAATTTTAAATAGAGGTTACTATTGAATTAGTGGTATTAAGCTTATTTACATAATATAATAAACAAAATATCCAAGATAATTATTTGTTATCTCGAAATTTTTCAGTTAAATAGTTTTAATATAAACTCAAGAAATTTTTGACAACGAAACTGTTACTCTTTATTTTTTTTTCAAATTTTTGATTTGCATTTTCAACCAAATCCCTCATTGCATGGCTTTTGCTGGACCATTTTATTCTTTGTTTTTTCCTTATTTCTTCTTTAGCTTTTCTGATATAGATCTTCCGACGGTAAACTATCATTCATGCAGTAAATTTTGTTTTATTATTGCAGCGTTTTGGAAATAGTATTGAACGATAAATCGAATTTTTCCTAATTTCTTTCTTCATGACTTACAAAACATTACCAGTGCAAAAATTATTATTATTTAAATAATCTCTCAAATTACAAAATATTTTGCATAATTTTCATTACAATTCTTCTTAAAGACCAAAGCAACAATACATTTTTTGCAAAAATTTTTATATTTTATCAACGTTTTAACAACGTAACCTGTGCAACTGTATAAAGCATTTTTCTCTCAAAGAGAGTTGTTTTTTTTTTCAAATTCCAATTTCTAGGCAAAGCTAAGTTTTCTTTTCCTTTAGGAACATCGTCTTCTTTTCTGTTATTATTTTTAATGTAACTCAAAAAAGCAACTAAAGGTGTTGTTTTGTCGGTTTCGTAACTTGAGTTATTTGAAACGTCCAAATATTGAGAACCTGATAAAAGTTTTAAATCATATTTAAATTGAATGGCCGTAGAGACCGGATGTCTTGACCGAATTTGGGAAAATACATTTTCTAAACAATCTTGAGAAAATCTCGTTATTAATAAATATGAGTTTTTTTTTTTCGTTCAAAAACAAGTTTTGCAGGTCTAAAATTGATGTTGTAGTCACTATAACACCTGTTTGAATAAGCTTCCAAATTGATTTTCCAAATTTGTCAGGAGCGACTTTTAAGTTTAAAAATAACTTAATGAACTCTTGAAGGAATTCTATAGTTTCCCTACAGACAGCCATATTAAACTTGGTCAAGGCCAAAATAGTTGATCTAGAACTAATCAACTGGAACCACCTATGTACATGCAACATCAATAAAAACAAGATTTATCTTCTCTCTCCTCTTCCGCATCAAATTTTATTCCACAACTAACATTTCGTTTAGAGACTTTGACACCTTCATTTTGTTTAAATAGTTAGATTGTAAAAGATCCACATTTAATTTAGACGCAAATTGCGGCTCAAATTTGCCTTCTTCTTCACAAAAATCTTTGATGTGTTGCACGTCAACCAAATCCGAAGTTAGTTCACATTTTTCAACAAAATCATTTGGTAATTGAATGATTTTGTCTTGTACCAAACATTGCTTTACATTTTTTTAAAAATGTGGCCCATCTGCCAGAAAGTAAATTTTTTCGCCATTATAACTGGGTTTAGGACATAATTTTTTGTTTCGCAATTTATTCCAGCTTTCCAAAGGTTTTCCACATAGTTAGATTCGCGGATCTAATATTTGAGGTTTCAGAATGAACCTTCAAACCAATTGCACTGTTTTTCTTAAAAACTGCTTTAAGAACATCAACTAGAACTGCCCCATTCATACTGTCTCCAGTAAAATGGTATGAAACAATTTGTTTTCAGCGAGTAGTAATACGTCCCGCAAGAATTATCAACGCTTTTGTCGCTACTCCCTCATGTTTTGGTAAAGTAATTCCCCCAATATACCTACCACTATGTACACAATAATCAATCCCAGCTTTTATATCTATTTCGTCCAATGCCACTATACAATCCCTCCCAAAATCTTTTGTAAATGAAAATTCAATGTTCGAATAGCTGGAAATGGTAATTTCATTTTTCTTAATAAGTTACATCCACTGGTCCCACATCCAAATTTAAACTTCAAAGATTTAAGTGATTGTTTGCTCGGAACATTTTTTGAATTTTTTCCCTTTTAGAACCTCAATTTGATCATTTGTTAATATATTTCCCAAATTTTTCCTTAAATTTGCATTACACACTTTTTGCTAGTACTTATAATTTTTGGCTTAATTTTTTGTTACTAATTTTTAACATTCTAACTTTTTTTCTTAACGTATCATTTTCTTTCTGTAGCGTTACATAGTCAGGTGGTTGTTTGCACTTTAGCAGTTTAGACGAAACAAATTCAGGCCAGAGAGATTGAGAAGAAAGAGAATCATTTGACAGGGAGAATTCAAACTGAAAAGATTCACTGGAGAGCTTACTATTTGAACTATTACTCTCCGTTGCGCAAGGAAAAATTCAAAGAACAGCGTTTTTCTTTGATTTTTGGCCCTATATTTCCCATTGATCTTCACAGAAATGTTGGCCCCAAACTCGTCCATATTTACTAGGCGCAATGTTCATGTTTTTTAACCATAATGCACGAAAATATGGTTTTTGTGGAATAGCTTTAAAGAACATTCCATTCTCAGATCTATTTTTACAACCTTTCACGCTGCAGCTGGTCATCGTTCAAATTTCTAACGACGAACGGTTATGAATGTCAAATTGACAAGATTAAAATACAATTTCTTTTAAATAGGACGTGGAAAAAATGATCCACCAATAAAAATGAATCACGCTCTTTGCCTTACTCTTCTCATAATTATTCTCTCTAGGTACCCTTCTGTCAGTTGTGTTAATTTTTGTGTTGAGTGATGCTCATTTTTCGTGATATTTATCTTTTTGTTAATGGAATTAACTTTTCACGTTTCTGTTCTTCGAACTACTGATCTGATAAGTTTACTAATACATCAACATAAAGTTGCAGCATTTTATTTGTTTACAAATGATCGCCAAAAATAAATCTTCATTGCTTTCATATTGTTAGTCATTATTCCGATATAATATACGTACAAATATTTCCTGTTGCAGACCACAACTATCACTTATGTATAGTTTCCTGTGAGCTATATCGGATATGTTAAACTATGTACGGTAGATTGCGGAAAAATAAATTTTCGATTTTGATTTCAAGCAAAGATGCGTACCAATATCAGTTTGGAGAGGTACAGTGTAATACCTAATTATAACAACAGTACTGCTTTCCCAAATTTTCTGGGAAATAGTTTGGGCCGCTCTTGATTCGATCAATAATAAATTAAGCCACCCTGTATAAACAATTCTAAAAAATATGAATGAATTGCATTCCTCAAAATTTTGAGATTACGTCATCACTTGGGGTTCAGGGGATTAAAGAGACATCAGTGGTTAACGATTTACCTCACAGACGCATATTATTTTGCACATTTTTTGACTCTGTGAAATTTTTGAGATCACATCATTAAATTTTTCTAAGGGATAAACAGATGAATCAGCTATTTACCATGTCATGCGTCATGCCTAAAATGACGAAAAAGCGTGTTGTAAAATTTCAGCACAATTGCTCTTCTCCTGTTGTACCCCCAGCAGCAAGCAATATTTTTCTAATATTTATACAAGATTGATATAATATTAAATGTTGACTAGATATTACAAATATTTATATAATATTCATTTTATATTTATAAATTTATATATGAATTTCAACATATATTACATATTTATGAAATGTCTTTTTATCAAGATACCGAACAACAAAAATGAAAAAAAAAGTACCATGTTGGGACAACTTGTAGGTAATTTATGTCATAGGGTTTTTATCGGAGCAATATTAAAAATTGATTTGAAAAAATACCAGCTATTGTGAAATTGACACTATTCGAAATCTCGCTTTGCACACTATTAATTGCTCATTAAAAAGTAATATTTTTTTTATTTCTGCGAACAAAAAATAACAATTTTATTCATCATTTTTATAAAACTTACATAAATTTGCGTTTCACCTACAGATGCGCTTGCTCTGCTGGAACGCGTTTGCGCAATGTGGAACATATACATATTTTCTGTTATTGTTGGTGGTTCAAAAAGTATTTTGTGTAAGTTCATGGTGTTTGTCCTATTGTGAATTGTGATTATCGGTACTGCGATAAATTCAGAATAGTGTAGTAAATACCGTTTTGTCAAGAAAACAGTACTAAACCTACATAACCTCACTTCTACATGGAATGCAGAAAATGCAATTTCTCAACACGTAAGTATATTTAAGACATTAAAATATTTCTGAATATAAGCATATTATGAATGTAGAGACAAAATGATGAATGTCCGGGCGCAACCAAAAAAAAAAGAAGAAATCGAGTTAGAAATTGCGGGAGATACGCAGAAATTGGATGAATTGGTAAGCATTTATTATGATTATTATCAACTCCTAGTATTTATAAACTAGTTTCAGACTGATAATAATGTTTATTTGTCAGGAAGAGAAGACGTAAAAAAACATGTATGCAATTTTGAAGAAATTATTAATAATGAACCAAATTGCTTTCAAGTTTTCAGGGCAAGGAAAAAAATAAGCTCTCTTTTAGTGAACTTACAATTAACAAGGCTACAATATGTAAAGTTATGTGATTTCTTAAAAATTACGAACTATGTAAGTTAATTTAATTATAGGTACCACACGAAAACGTCACAAAAACGCCACAACTACTGAAATTTAAAAAATGGTAGGACCTCATTAAGCGCAGACAAAAGCAAGAATGAATTCTCATCGAAAAAAACATGAGGTATGACTTTTTTTATTTTAATTAATTATATCGCTTTTCAATGAATTGGTTATAGAGCAAATAATTATTAAATAAATATTTCTGTATAACAATTGAAATGTAGCAGAACATTGTTAATTCCATTGACAATGTATTTTTATGTCATTGTAAGTTGGCAGTGTATTTTTATGCTTAAAAAATTTATATTGTGTTTCACATCAGGTCATTTTTTAAATTTATGCTCTGGTTGCCCATGAAGCTTATGTCAGCAGTTTCAGTTTCACTGCTGACATAAGTGTCATGGGTAATTACAGCAGAAATTAAAAAAATCACCTGGTACAAATTTTCAATGAATTGGTTCTAGGACAAATAATTTTTAAATGTATAAATATTGCCGCAACGTTTCAGATAAGTACACTGTTATTTCCAGCGACAATGTATTTTTGTGTTTAATAAATTTTATATTGTATTCCATACAAGTTTTTTTTATATCCATACCCCCTTTCATATGAACAACATTTATTAAATGTTTTGAACTAAATAAGTATTAAACATTAAAAATAAATATATATTCAATATTTAAAACCAATATTGATTTTCTAAAAAAAAATCTGTCGTTACTCATATTATTTAAATGTTAGAACTTCAATATTTATTACATATAAAATGTTACTGGGGACAATTTTGATTTTTTTTTTATCTATAGGCACACATTTAAAAATAGGGGTACATATTAATAAGCCGCAAGTACAGAAGCACTACTTTATGACATTTATATAGGATCTGCCTAGTCAAATTTTGAGAGAACGGCACCAAGTTCTCCTGGAAATGACCACGCAAATTTTTTAGTTTTTTTTATATACTAAATTGGTTAGAAACTTAGGAATCACGATTATTGGATTTTGTTTCTTTCTCTTCATATTAATGTCCCGTGGATTATTAGTGCATATGAAACACAATATGTATTTATCACTTCCGTTATCGTTTAACTTGCTTCACTGAAATAGCATTATCAAAGGAATTGGAAAACAAAAAAAATTTCTAACAAAACAATGAAAACTTGTTACCACCGACCACCGGGGAAATACCGACTTTTGTGGAACTCACGATAGGCCATGCAAAAGTTATACACTTTCATTTATTCTCCGCAACATATGTTACACCACATGAAGACAGAACTTACGTGTCAGTTGTACATTTTGTTTACCTAATTCATTTACAAATCTACAAACCCACGAAATTACGAAAACTCGCAACAACTTTTCCACAAAAAGTCACAATCGGCTACAAAAATAAAGTTTTTTGCGCCTCAACAGTTATCGGACGTCGGTAGATGGTTCCGGATAGTAGTAAAAAGAAAATACGAACCTAATACTTCTGGAAATTGCTGGAACAAACAAAACTCGGGATGAATAACACTTCTTGCATACACGCAATCGCACAGAACACACAACTGCTTTAACAGGAGTTAGTGATGTGAAAAATCGATTCGATTCTTGAATAATCGATTGTATCTCATACTAAAGAATCGATTTTCTGTAGATATTTTAAACTTCGATTAATATTTAAATCGATTATTTTTTACGAGAATCGGCTAAAAAAATCAATACCCGTTTAGAAAAATCTAGTGACTTTAGCCACATTTGCGTGGTACTGGTTACCGTGCTGTGCATTGAATGTTGTTCTGTGTGTGGTTCTTTGGTTTTGCTGTTGCTATGGTTACCTACATCGTGCCTACATCCCACATTTGTAAAATCATCGTATGTGCATGTGAAATACTGAAATGCCTAGATTGAAGATTTGGCGGAAGTGGTAAAATCCCCCTTTTTTGTAAGTAAAATTATTAATCCGTGTATTAATCTTGCCAGATTTTTTGTTCGTAGAGTTTAGGTAAACCACGATTTTATATTTTTTCAATATTTTAGATATTAGGATGTCGATGCCAACGTCCAAATCTATTAAACGATATTTTACAAAAATCGATGCAATATCCTCAAGATGTAGATTTTGTCTCAAAATAGTTAAAAATCATAGTAATACTACTAATTTGCTCAGCCACATGAAAAGGAAGCATCCTATGATCCCTTTGAATCAGAAATCGATAATGAATGTAGAATCAAAATCAGAGCAAGAGGAGCCATGTAAAAAAAGACAATGTTTCGAGAAGCCCACATCCCCTATTATTCAATCCGAACCTGGGTGCAGTGGTAGCAGGACAATTGAAAGAAGTTGTGATAATATATCGAATTTATCAGAAGCAACAACTTTAAGCATCTTGGATAGCTCATCATTTTCACATATCAAAGGAAAACAGAAAAAAGTTACTGAAGTGTTTGAAGAAGTATCTTCATATACAGGTTTGTTCAATAATTGAGCAATTTATATTACAAAATTTATTTAAATTTTAGAAGGTGGTAGAAATGCCAGTAAGATTACAAATGCCATTTTGTATATGCTGGCTGTAGATAACATGCCACTGAAAACTGTAGAAAATAAAGGGTTTAAGAAGTTTTTACAAACTACACTTCCACTGTACAAACTACCATGCCGAAAAACTTTCACGAATATGATGGATGAACGGTATGAAGTTATTAGCTCTCAAATTAAAGAAGATTTTAAGAATGTTTTAAATTTCACAATAACAACGGATATATGGACTGATTCTTTCAACACTCGAAGTTTTATGGGAATCACCGTACACTTTTTTAACATGGGTGAATTAAAGTCTGTGAATATTGGTGTGATTATGTTAGAAAAAAGTCACACCGGTGAATATATATGTGAAAAATTAAATGATTTATGTGTGCAGTGGAATATTGACAAGGAAAAAGTAACGGCTATTGTAACGGACAATGGAAGCAATGTTGTGAAGGGGGCATACCTTTGTTTTGGAAAAAAAAAACATCTTCCCTGCTTCGCTCATACACTGAACTTAGTAGTTACAAACGCCTTAAAACTTACAACTCATCTAAGTGATATTATCAATAAGGTTAAAGAGATTGTTGCCTTTTTTAAACATAGCACCAAGGCAACTGAGGAATTGAAGTCTCAACAAATCCAAAATGGGGCGCCAAATAATAAAACGTTGAAGCTAATCCAGCAGTGTGAAACTCGTTGGAATTCAACGTACCTAATGTTGCAGAGATTTTTATTGTTGGCAACTTACATAAGTTCAGTGCTATTTAATTACAAAAATCCAACTATGGTTAATCATGATGAAATTGAAATTTTAGAAGAAGTTGTTTTAATTTTAAAGCCATTTCAATTACTTACTACAGAAATTTCAGGTGAAAAATATGTAACAGCAAGCAAAATAATTCCTCTGGCACATTGTTTAAAATTGTCCTTAAATCGTTTGGATGGTTCTACTGAGTTTGGGAAAGAGCTCATCACAAATTTGGGTAATGAAGTACAGAAACGTTTCTATTCTGAGGAATCTTTTATTGAGAGAAATGAAATATTAGCAGTAGCAACTGTTATTGACCCTCGGTTTAAGAAAATACATTTTGAAAGCGCACGATCGTTATCAAATACATTAAATATTATATCAAAAATGTTTCCAACAAAAACAAGGGAGGTAGACTCTGAAGGATTTTTTAAACCAGTTTCTGATAATAGTAATGATATATGGAATATTCATGAAAATTTGGTTGTTAGTAAAGAATCTCGAATTTCAGATGTAAATAGTGGAAATGGTTTGCCAACAGAATTGAAGCAGTACTTAGACCAATCGATTATTGCTCGAAATGATGATCCAATTCAGTATTTTAAGCAGTTAAAGATAGCGTTTCCTGAATTGTATAAAATTGCAACCAAGTATTTGTCAGTTGTTGGTACATCCGTACCATGTGAGAGACTGTTTAGTAGAGCGGGAGAGATCTTAGCAGACAAACGGTCTAGACTAACAGGACCACATTTGTCAAACTTAATATTCCTGAGCAGTATTGAAGATAAGTACTGGTTTGAATAATTTACAATTATATTTTTGTTTTAAGAGATAAATTTAATTTTTATGTTTACGACTGAATATTATTGATTTTGTATTTTATTGTATTAAGTTTATTTTCATTTAAAATGTTCACAAATTTTTTATTTTTTTACTCCAATTAAAGTTTATGACAATGTTGGAACTTTTTTTAACATTTTCCACAAAACGATTTAATCGAATCGATTATTTTGATTTGTGATTAATTGAATCGATTAATGGTCTAATCAAACTTTATCGATTTATCGATTCGATGTTTTTCGGACCAAAGTCGCATCACTAACAGGAGTACAGGAAGTTAAGTGAACGAGTGAACGACACAGTGTTGCCACTTCTACCTAATTTTCGGTAGATCTACCGATTTTGGGCTCTGGCTACCGATCTACCGATTGAAACCCCAAATCTACCGAAAAGTCTACGATAATTTAAGAAAATTTTATTTTTAATGTATTTATAAATTTTCAATAATTTTTTTTATATAATTTCATTTCCTAATATTTTTTCAATATAAATTTAGTTCTGCGGATTTGCTTAGTTCCCTCCATTACGCACCAGCGTAATCCCTATACATTTTTACAGATAGCGCCAAATATCTACTCTTTTTAAGCGCGTAATAATTAAAAGGGGATTTTTTTTTAATTAGTTGGACAAAATTCGGTATATCCCCGAAACAGTTCAGCAGCTGAGGCTATAAATAAGGGGAATATTATAGTTTGATTGTGTTTTTATTAATAACAAAATGTTCCTACTACCTTTAGCATGTTTACCTATATATTTTTTTTTAATGATCTATGTTAATATTTCGGTTTTTATTTTTTATTTGTTTCTTTTTAATAACAAAATATTTCTATCTTCTTCATATATGACAAAAAATCGTATTATTTATGTGTAATACTTTTTCTATCACAAAAAACCGATCTACCGAAAAAACGCCGAAATTTACCGAAAATTATCGAAGGAATCTACCGATAGCAAGCAAAACGGCGTGGCAACGCTGGAACGACAGTTCTGTTTCTGCTTCAATACCGGATTTCATGTAGGCGGCACAATGAATAATTTCATATCGTTGTACATATAAATATCTATCTCATTTATATGTACTATGGATACACAATTTAGTCTGCAAAATAAACAGTATTTTACGATACGATTTGCATTATTCCGTCCTTAATTTTTTTTACAATTTAAGGTTATACACGACACACGAAAAATTTTGTCGACGCAGGTAGCTGTGAAAATTCGAAAAAAAGTTGGCAGTAGATCAAGTACAGTAATTTTGACAATATGAAATTCTTGTTGACATTCCAATTGTACTGTCAGAAACACGTGTCATTGTATCAGCCGGTGGTGTAATCTTCGTCGTTTAGAATTTACATATAAAGAAATATAAATAAACATTAACACGATATATTTCAAAGTAGCTACATCAATTGTCTCAAAGGTGAAATATTACTGTTAAGACAAACTATTTTCTCGAAATAGTTTGTCTTAACAGAAAGAGAGTAATTTCCACCTTAGTGGAGGAATAAAAGTAACCCCAATATACGTTTCCTTTGCATGCAAAACATCTTAGTTGTACCGACTTTAGCTCTCAAAAATAGTTGTCAGCATATTCTTGCTACCTTAACTCAAACTTAATGTTATATGCAAATTCATTCATTCCAGGGAAAATTCGAGCAAAGTGTAACATCAGCTATTTTGCAAATTACACAAGTTCGGGCAATACTACACAGAAAAATTAACAAAATTACTGAAATACAAAGCTTTATTTAAAAAAAAAGTACGTAAATCTATAAAACAAAACATTTTATATTTAAGTTATTCTACTATGTCCAAGTTCTGCAAAGAATTGAACTCCTACATTTTAAATTTGGTAATAATAACAAAAGTGTAAAAGACATACAAAAAAAATCAATTTATATTCTAAATAATTATTCAATAGAAGCATTTGACTCTAACTCCTCAATTAAATTTTTAATGTATCCTACCGTGTCCACAATTCGGTTAATTAAAATAGCATCTTCACAGCTCACTCTATCAAGCTCTTCCAATAACCGCATCAAATTCTCATGAATCACATAGTAATCCACCGAATAATTGGTTCCCAAATAACATTTAACAGCACTTTCAAAAGATGCAGCTCTTTGATGAATCCTTTGTATAAATTCAACACTTTCTCTTTTAATGTTCGTATCTAAATTGAAATCGTTGAAGTGACTTTGTAAGTCCAAAATATTTTCAGATTGTTTTCTACTTTTAACTAATAAATTAGCAAGAAATTCATCTAATTTCTTCAAACTATCGAAAACTTCCTTTGCAAAGGACCGTTTCAACGAATCCAACTCGGCATTATCTTCAGGCATATTTTCCATGCGTTCATTTAGGTGCAATATTTTATTCAACTCCTGCTTAAAAAAATCTGTAGTCATCGGGTGTGACATATCTTGTACAAATTTGGCCAGAAGTTTATGACAATGGGGCAATTGTAGTCTAGATGTTTCTAACGCAATCATTTTTTCAATATTCTCTAAAGAAGTACAAATGTCTACTTCCCGTGGGGAAGTTTCTCGAAGTACTTTAATTATTCCTTCTTTTTCCGCAAGTAGTTCCAGTTTCTTTGTAGTAGGAAGATCTTTATTGTAAATCGCAAGAATTGCATTTTTTATAAGTTCCAAACGTTCAATTATGTCCTTAATGTCTTGCGCTTCCTTGCTTGCTTTCTTCAGAAATTTCAAAACTAAATCAAAATTCTCATTAAAAACATTTGAGAAATCATAGCTTACGTATTTTTCACGCATAACCACTTTCGCATTTTCCCACAATTTCCCAATGTCTCTTCTCTTCAGATCGTATTCTTCGATAGAAATCGAGTGTGTCAATTGTTGTACGCATTTTTCGAATTCGTTTAATAACTTTTTCACATTTTGCACATCTCTCGGATAGTCCTCCATATAAATATTTTCTTCAAAAACATGCAGTCCACACAGAATTTGCATCTTTTTATTGGATACTCTGTAAGTACCACCGTCAACAGAATTTAGTCTTTTACGAAAATTATTGAACGCCGCAAGTTTTGTCACTCCTGAAGAACGACTTTGGTTTTGCTGGTGAATTTCGTTCGCGATGTAATCTAAACTCTGCAATAAGAAAAGTAGCTCTTCGTTATCCTTAACTTTTGTGTCTAGAATCCCCAAAACTTCGTCAATTTGTTGAAAGAGAAATGAGACTTGCTTATCAATACAGCGGTATCCACTTGGTAGATTGCATAAATGTTCTTTCAAAGACAGAATTTCTGCAGTTTTGACTTCATATAAATGAACGCTTTTTGGATACGGAAACTGTCGGACGTACAACTTGTAATTATCGAGAGTTTTCTTCAAGCTTCTCAAAAAAGTCATGGACTCCACAACCAAACATCCTTCTATTCTATTAACAAACCCGGTAATCTGTAACACCACTTCGCTATTCCTTGTATCAATTTGTTTAACGATTTCTATAAGGGCTTCCAGACTGCTTTGTTTTTCTCGAAAGGTCGCGTTAGATTCGACGGTTGTAGATAGTTTTTCTTCAACTTCTGCCAAGACTTTCAGATTTTTGTTAATTTCCTTATTTTCCTCATTTATTTTCTCCAGTTTGTTTATAATTTGACCACCTTTATCGAAGAGGACTTTTTTTAGAAGTTTCAATTCTTCTTTATCGGGTACTTTCTGTAACTGATTGTCCAGTATATTAAGAACTTTTCGCTTGACATTTTCAACAGCAGCTTCACCAATGGGAGAACAAAATTTGTCCACGACAGTGTCGAACTCATATAAATCAATCTCCACTTGTTTCAGTAGATTTTCATATCTGGAGACCAAAGTGCCACTTTCACTTTCTTCATGCTCCAACCTTGAGGGCGTTGTGTTGGCAACTGAAACGAAATTTCATCATTATCAAAAACTTGTATTTTAGTAATAGTTTGTATTCATACGTTTAGAAGCATACGTGTTTGATCTGTGGTATTCTTGCTTCCCTGGACTTATTCCCTTTGATTTAACTTCCTGTTCCAAATTTTGCACTAGTTGATTTAAAGTCTCGGCTTTTTCTTTAATTTCTTGTAAATGTTTCTTAACTTCTTCAGCATTAAAAACTGTAACACTATTCGCACCCAATATGTCAAAATGTTGGGTAGCTCCCTGTAGATTGTAAAGAGTATGTTGTAAGACGTTTACAGTTTTGACCAGTGGAGATTTTAGAAACAACTTCAGCACCAACAAGGAAAAATTATCATCTTGGTCTTGCGTGACTTTAGAATGAAATTCCAAATTTTGCAAATACGTTATAACAGTGTAAATAAGATTTCTACATTCCTCATCTCCTATTCTGCTGGTATTTAGTTGTTTTTCTATCTCAAACAATTCGCTTTTCATTTGATACGGCAATTTTCCATCTATAAAAATGACAAAATTAGCTACAGTACAAAATTGAGGACAGCTTTAATCATTACCTGTGTTTTCGTACGTACGTCGTATGGTTGATATACAGTTTAATTTACTTTTGGCTTGGGAAATTAGCTCGTTCATTTTCCGCATTTTATGTTTTGATATGTAACCTTTCCTTTTCTCTTTTTCTATAACGTTGGAATAGAACAATAGAGCCTTAGAAATTCGGTTTTTAACGCAGTCGTCAATTCTTACTTCTTCTTCGCCCAATCGAATTATCAAACTGCTCACATTGAATTCTACTGCTTCAATAGCTGCGACGTCAACCTTAGAACTGAATATGCCACCCATTTCTGAAATTAAATGAAAATTAGGTAAAAACCAAGGCGGGTTCATAAACCACAAATATTATAAGATTTAAATAACATTTACGATGCAAAATTTTGAGGTGACGTCATCATATTGTTGCATTAGGCAAATTTTAGTTAGAGTTTTACCATCTATACGGCATTTCTAACACACACATAGTCCAGTAGCTTCAGAGATGTATTCAGAAAAAATCTCACACTCCTAAATTTAACTTAGGCTTGAGCCTATAATAGCTGCTTAGTCAGAATTTATCCCACTCTTGTCCCTGCGAGGGCTAGTCAAGAGTGGAATAATCAAACACGAGTCCAACAGAAGCTTGAACTTAACAATTTTACGTAGGTAACACACGAATTAAATTTTCTAATAGCTTTCACTAAAAGAAAAAAAAACGAATTGTAAGAGTTAACGACCTATACTTCATTTTGTGACCAAATCAGTTGACGTATAAGTTTTAATCCCCTTCTATATTCACATAAACAAAAAGTACAACACAAATATGTCCGATTCTGAAAATCTTTCAGATAATTAGGAAGCCGCTACTCTCTGTCGTCATTAATATCCCAAAAATCCAAAGGGAGATGTAGCGTGTCAACGTTAACTTCTTTATTCGTCGCCTCAGAACTTGCTTGATCCAGAGACCGGAGTGCATTCGGGCCAATGTCGACTCTAAGCATTCAAAATTTCTACAGGAAATGGTTATTATTTAGATGCTTTTATTTACAAACATAATATCTCTCATAGTTCACCCGATTTTGACATGCAACAATTTTTTTTGTTTAACTAAGAATTAATTCTTTAATTTTGTTTGATATTAACAAAACGTCCTAAATTAACAATACTAGTGGAACCGTAGTCATGTAATAGATTTCGCGTTTCGATTTCTCTATTTGTTGATTTTTCAATTTTTCGATTTTTAAATTTTGGAATTTTTCATTTTTCAGTTTTACGATATTTTAATTTTTCAATGTTTTAAATTTTTCGATTTTTCGATATTTCAGTTCTTCAATATTTTTCAAATTTTGACGTTTCTGAATTTTCAGTATTCCAATTTCTCAATTTATTATTCTCTACTTATTGTTTTATTTTCCCATTTTTCGACTCCCCAAAGTTTCGATTTTTCAGTACTTCAATTCTTCAATTTTTCGATTTTTCAGGTTTTTGATTTTTCAATAATTGTTCAATTTTTTTTAGTTTGTGATTTTTCGACTTTGCTTTTTTGCCTTTTCGATTACTCACTTTTTAAATTTCCCAATTTTTGAATATTTCGTTGTTCAATTTTGTGATTTTTCAGTTTTTCGATTCTTCAATTTTTCTTCTATTTATTAATTATTCGATATTTCAATTTTGGGAGTTTTTAGTATTTCAACTTTTCGATTTTTCTACTTCTGGATTTTTCGATTTTTCGACTTTTTACTTTTTGGATTTTCAGTTTTTCGTTTTTAAAACTTTGGATTTTTTAATTTTTCCCAATTTTTCAACTTTTCGATATTTTAACTTTTCAATTTTTAAAATTTTAGATTTTTTGATTTCTTGAGTTTTCAGTCCTTCTATATTTCAATTTTTCAAAATTCGGAATTTTTAAATTTTGGATTTCCGAATTTATTTTTTAATTTTTTGATGTTTGGAAATATAAATAAAATCAAAATCGAAAAATCATCGAAATGTTAAAAATGGAAAAATTGATAAATCGAGGGAGTTAACAATCAAAACATCAAAACATCCGAATTACGATAAATCGAAATCTCAAAAAATTGAAAAATCGAAAATTTAAAAATTTGGAAAATTGAAAAATTGAAATATAAAACTGAAAATTCGAGAAATACAAAAATCTAGAATTTTTAAAATAGAAAAATTAAAATTTCGAAAATTTGACAAAATTGAGAAATCGAAATATAAAACAGTCGAAAAATTAAAAAATCCCAAAACTGAAAATAATATCCAAAAATTGAGAAATTAAAAAATTGGAAAATTGAGAAATCGAAAAACCAAAAAAGCAAAGTCGAAAAATCGAAGAATTAAAGAACTGAAAAGTCGATAAATGGGAAAACGAAAATATATTAATTGAGAAAACGGACAGCTGAAAATTTAGCAACATCAAAATTTGAAAAATTGAAAAGGCAGAAAATCGAGAAATCGAAAAATCCAAAATTTCAAACATTGAACAATTAAAATATCGCAAAATTGAAAAATCGAGAAATCTAAACATCAAAAAATCAAAAAATAAAAATTCGAAAATCTAAAATGTAAAATTCGAAAAACTGGAAAATCGACAAATCGAGAAATCGAAACCTTAGAATTTAAATAATTGAAAAATTGAAAAATCGGATAACTGAAAAATCGAAACATCGAAAAATTAAAAAGCCCAAAAGTAAAAAATCAAAAAACTGAGAAATCCAAAAATCGAAACATCGAAAAATTCACACACAAACTGAGACATCGAAAAATCGAAAAATCAGAGGATCGAGGGATTGAGGACTCGAAAGTCGAGAAGAAAAGTTGAATAATTGATGAATCGAAACATCTGAATCCAATAAATCGAGAAATCAAAAAAATGAAAAATCGAAATAAGGTATTTTAAAAAAGAAAATCGAAAATTTAAAAATTCGGAAAACTGAAAAACTGAACTAAAGAAGAACTGAAAACTCGAGAAATCGAAATAAAAAAATCCAGGAGTCCAAAAATCGAAAAGTCGTAAAATCAAGAATCAAGATATTGAAAAATTTTAATCCCAAAACTGAAAGAAATATTCAAAATATTGAGAAATTAAAAAATTGGAAAATTTATAAATCGATAAAACAAAAAAGCAAAGTCGAAAAAGCGAAGAGTTGAAGAACTGAAAAATCGAAACTTTGAGAAGTCGAGAAATGGGAAAATCAAAAATAGATTAATTCAAAAAACGGAAAACTGAAAATTTAGCAACATCAAAATTTGAAAAACTGAATAATCAGAAAATCGAAAAATCTAAAATTTAAAACATTGAACAATTAAAACATCCCAAAATTGAAAAATCGAGAAATGCAAAAATCAAAAAATAAAAATTCGAAAATCTAAAATTTAAAAATCGAAAAACTGAAGAATCGACAAATCGAGAAATCTAACCCCAGAATTTAAAAAAATCGAAAAACTGGAAAGCCCAAAACTAAAAAATCAAAAATCGGAAAAAAACCAAAATCGAACCATCGAGAAATCAACAAATCAGGAAAACTGAAAAATCGACAAATCGAGAAATCGAAACCACAGAATTTAAAGAATTGAAGAAGTAAAAGATCGGATAACTGAAATTCGAAACATCGAAAAATTGAAAATCCCAAAACTAAAAAATCAAAAAACCGAAAAATCCAAAAATCGAACCATCGAAAAATTCAAAAACTGAAATATCAAGAAATCAACAAATCAGGATCGAGAAATTGAGGACTCGAAACTGTAAAGTTAAAAATTGAAAAACTCATGAATCGAAACATCTGAATTCGATAAATCGAGAAGTCAAAAAATTGAAAAATCGATATAGTTTAAAAAAGAACAATTGGAAAATCGAAAATTTAAAAATTCGGAAAATGAAAAATTTGAATAAAGAAGAACTCGAGAAATCGAAAAACTTGAAATTTTAGAAAACGAAAAATTGAAACTCCAAAATGTAAAAAATCTAGAAACCAAATAATCCAGGAGGAAAATCGAAACATTGAACAATCCCAAAACTGAAAGAAATTGAGACGTCGAAAAGCTAAAAAGTAAAGTCGAACAACTGGAAAATCCAAAAACCTGAAAAATCTAAAAACTGAAGAAGTGAAAAATCTAAACTTTGTGAAGTCGAAAAATGGGAAAATAAAAAAAAGATTATTTCAGAAATAGGATAACTGAAAATTTAGGGATGTCAAAAATTGAATAATTAAAAAATCGAAATATTTAAACATCGTAAAATTGAAGAAGAGAAAAATTGAGAAATCGAAAATTTGAAGTATGGAAAAATTGAAAAAACCCAAAATTGAAACATCTAAAGTTGAAAAATAGAGAAATCCAAAGCCGAAAAATCTCAGTAGCGTATTTATAAACCACAAGTTCAAAACTTTGTTACTTTTAACATTTAAATAACATTTATTCCACAAAATTCATCATCAATTCCTGGGGGGCGTGAACGGATAAATTTTGACTAATGATCTACCATGCTTCAAATAACTATAAATTGGAAAATGTCGTTAATTTTTTTCCAACAATCTTGACGCCTAAGGTAAAAGCTCAGCACGGAGGATATAAAATTTAAATTACATCTACTACTGTAAAATTTGGAAATTACGTCATTTAATTGTTGGTGACAAATTTTGCTGAGTGTTTTACCATTTGATACCACAATTTGAAATGTAAATTTTGTTGTTCGGGAACATTTATGTATTAAATCCTTAAAATGTTGTTCTAACGAAAATCGGCTTATAAATAAATCGCTTAGAGACGATATTGGCCTGAGTGCGCTCTGGTCTGTACATCAAACAAGTTCTCAGGCAACGTATTAATACCTCATCACTAGCTACGTAACTAAATAGTTGATAACTAGCTATGAAAAATTAGCAACTTCAAAACGTCTACCAGCTTTGACAAAAGTCACTTTTTATGTCAAATTTAGAAAAATTATCGTTTCGAATCAGGATTATCCAAGCACAAAACATTGCAGAAGGTATACCCTTTAATGCCTTTATTATTTCAATACACAGGCACAAAACTTAAAATAATCTACAATGCAAAATTAAAAATTAATTTCTAGTTTAATACAGAAGTCAATTAACAAAGTTAAATATAAAATTGATCACGTGACTAGTTTTAAAGTAGTATCGGCATTGCATTAAAATTATGATAGGTGACATATGGTTCACACTGTAGTTTAATAGAAGTTGTAAGTTCTTCAACTCGTTTTACTTGATGCATTTCCAGATTTTCAGCCGAAGATTTCGTTTCTTGACATAACTCATAAACACTCCTAAGAGTATCAGCCATT